CAGAATGCACAGGGAGTTTATTTGACTGTAAGGCTGAGCAAACAACAGAAGATTTAAACTGAATATCTTAACTGACCTAATATAAGTGGAGTCAGTATGCTCAGTAAATTCCTTCAGACTAGCTGTTGTCTAATGCACCTGAAAGTCAAACAACATGTCACCTAAATTAACGATGAGTCACTGCCAATCAGTGTGCACTCATGTCCTTTGCGTTGCTTCAATCATAACAGAGAAATTGAGTCCGAATTTTTCCATCTAGCAACAACAGTGAGAGTTCCATCTAACGCCAACAGAGAAATTCACACAAACGTTGGAGAAACTGCTGTGGGCCCGGGTGCAGATGAGGAAGATTTGGGTACAAATACAACATTTTAACAGATGCAAAGGCAGTTGTGTGGGCAGAACATATCTGTTGCTTCCAGAGGAAACCATGGAATCTGTTTGTTTCTTCAGTGTAACGTCACTTATCTATTATATTTTGCTACCAAAACAGATCTTGATCTCAATTAGATGTCCTGACTACATGAGGGTTAGAATGACTGACTTAGTCATATTGATTTCAGGTAATATCTCTCCACCTTACAGGTGACACAGCTTCCTCCTCACTCACCCAGCTCCTCTAAGGTATCATTGTCTCCCAGGTAGTCCTTCAAATGCAAAGACATATGATCGCTCAGCTCCTCCATGGTGCGGCCCTTGAAGTTGCATGAAGCCCACTCACACACCACCTCAAAATTGTCTAGTCTCTTGGTTGTCATCATGATGGTGATCACTGTGTGCTCAGCTGCTGCTGCACACAACCACCGAATAACGGACCACCTGAACAGAAAACACAGAACTGACATTTTAAGCTGGAATATTAAAAACATGCTAACTGACTGTGAAACTGTAAAATGTATTAGCCGACGTTAGCTGGAGTTAGCTGAGACGTGATATTTCTGGACGATGATTATGTTAACCAAAACACACAAGCAATCGTTTTATTCCCAACTGTGCTCGTAAACGAAACAAGTACCTAGCTAACATCTTATTTCTATCTTAGTATGTTGTGTTCATATAAGTAAGAGTTAGTATTTGGGCTGACAGTCTAGCTAGCGCTGACAGTTTGAACACTACTTTCTCGGACTATTCATCAACTGCTAGCTAACGTTTTTCACGTTTTAATCTTTTAACGTGAAAAATAACTTGACATCTAAATGTGGAAGTTGTAAACACACACAGATGTTTCCGACACTTGCGATACACGGAGTTGTGTAAATGCTTCTTACGAGTATTAGTGTCAGTAGCTTCAGCAGCTCTGTTATCTTTCTCCTTCCCTCCTCTGAGCTTGTCTGGTTTTGTTTATTTCCGGTCAGTGCGAGCCTCAAAACGGAAGTTGGTCTTCTTCGCCTGTTATTGAAAACAGACGAAGAAGAATACTGCCCATTCCTGTCGTGGAGTCATCCAACGACTGACTAGATCTCAAAAACAGAAAAATCCAAACGATTCAATTTTTGAGGGAAATATTAGAACATGTATATTAATGTGTGCAGTGACGTTAAAATGCATCATTAAGAGCCTGTTCCTCCTTTGCTTTGCTGTATGCGTGTTGTTAAATCATTCAATTCAATCATTTATTAAATACTAGTTTTCTGATATGTAACATTCTCTTTGTTTTATTTCATTTTCATGTGGAAAACATAATCCAACTTTCCCCGATTGCCACTAATACATTGTTGGACATTTAGTTGAATGTTAAAACGTATAAACTCACACAGAAATTCTGTGAGCCAACATCATCCCAGTTGTTTTTTTCATGTGTAGCTAATACTCCTAACATAGCCACTATGTTGCACTCTCACATTTGCCATGTTTTATTAATAGGTTCTTTGCAAGTATTCAGATGTCATGATATCAACGGAGATAAGAGCCAAGCAGGGAGAGAGAGATAATCACATGTCCCATCTAGCCTGTGGACACCTTGGACACCTTCATGAACTGGATGCTTGCTTACAAGAAGGAAATCTGAGTTGCTTCGCTTAGCCAGCAGCCACCTTACTTTGTATCCTGTTAACGTGATGCTTTGCGATTGTGCAACATTGGCTCTTATCCACTAGAGGTCATAATATGCTGACTATCAGCACCCAAATATGCCGTGTCTTGCCTGTCCAAGAAATATAATAGTTCCATGAGGGTGCATGTCTCCTGATGAAGTCGATACAACTCCAATGAAGTAACACAATATTGTGCAGTGATATCAACAGTGCAGATGTTCAAAATGCCCTTTCATGTTGTGGTGCACATTTCATTCACATGAGAATTTGTGTCAAACAAAACACTGGAGCAGGCTCTCAAACTTGGATGGCTGTAAATTCAACATGACAACAATTGCCACCAATAAATCATATAGTATATATTTCATATACCTAGTGAAGCAAGTGTATAAAATCTCAATTCTACCCTCTCAATACAGTATTATAAGCTGTGTAGGTGAGACTGTAACCAGCCAGACAAGTCTGTTAGAGAGGGGACAAAGCTTAGGCAGCTCTAGTGCCATCGCTGATCTGTTATTCAATATTTCATGGGCCCATAACAACTGAATTATTCATACAGGTTTATGTCAGGATGACTGATTCACAGGAAAATGAACACCAGCATCTTAAAGCCAGCTAGTGAATTAACTGAAAAAATGATCGAATCATTTTCCCATTTTACTTTTTGAACTTTGAATCTTTTGCTTTAAGATACGGCCATTTTGCATCTCCTAATTATTTAATCCCTGAACTGTAAGCAACATGGAAAAAACAATGTGCCCATTACATCTCAGAAAAACACTTTAAATGTTGGCTGAGTTTTGCAGGAAACAACACGCCTTCTCTTTAAAAATAAAACATACTGTTACTTACATACGTTGCTTACTAGGAGTGCTGTGGAAATACAACCCAGGCCTAGGAACATTTCGTATTCTCTGCAATATAACTACCATCTCCTTCCATTTTACTGTGCTATTAAATTAATGCCTTGATATTTTTGTAAATATTCAGAAAAAATATAATACACAGAATATGTCAAGATGGTGAATTACTCCTCATTACTGAAGTGTTCAAAGGCTGCTGCAGCAAATGCAAACAAAATATGAACTACAACTATTCGTTAAAACCCATATTGTCATTTAACTTTGTTTTCTCCAATTCAAAATCACTATTTTAAAGAATATATTTTATATCATATCAAAGTAAAATATCAAAGTAAAATACTATTTTTAAATTTTTAAATATATTAAAGAAACACTAACGCCAAACAATGAGTCACAACACAGGATTCTGTATCATCATTTTAATGAGAGTTCATTCAGAGCAAGATGAGAGTACAAGCACAATATCACAACATGTTTGCAGCGGTATGACGTTGTCACAACATCATTTCTCTCCGGTTTGACTCCACACAAAGCCCAAACCAGACAGCATACACAATGAAAGATATAGCACCAGGGTGTTGGAGTGAACAGCAGCACGTCTAGTGGTTGGGTCAGACTTGATACTAGCAGGCAGCAGGCTGTAGAAGTCATACACAGAAAAGTCTCTCACACTCGCACACACACACACACTGAAGCCAAAACTGGAAGCAGACACACTGTGGTAGTGCTCGAATGGGCTCACACACACTGCAGCCAAGTTGGCCGCTAAGGGTTTAAGTACAAACACTTCATGGCATGTTTATAATGAACAGTTTTTTTGCACATTTTGACAGAGCAGCATTTCAAAGAGCTGAACTTAAGTCCTGGCCCATTCCCTGTCCTTCAACACCTGGAGAGATCAGCCCATTCAGAATGTGTTGAGTAACTACAATAGGTTCTCCCTTTTCAGACCTATAATGCATAATTAGTTTCTTATTTAGCACAATTACAGCGTCACAGCTCAAAGGAGAGGATAGAGTACAACGTCACAAAATACTAAGTCATCAATAAAAACTCCAGTATGCCCATTAAATCGAAGGAGTGGATCTTCATTTAGATTGCAAGAAACATGTTTGTGGGTGAGACCATTTTGCTGGTGTGTTTAGTTTATAGCTTTAACAGCCACTAGACTATGATTTTACTTGGTGGATGCACTTTTGTTTCTATGGAGTGGCCAGGATCTATTACAACACATGCATTATATTTGAAAAGGTCTTGCCCCTATATACTTATCTTTAAAGGCTCAATTTACAAGCTAAAATGTGACGGTGACATAAAGTCTGCTAAAATGTTGCTACTCAACCAAAAAACGGGGTCCTGCATGCAAGCTGTAGCAATTCTATTACAGTTCATTTGGTTTCTTAGCAACCAAACTGATAAAACCAGATATCGTCCAGAACAACGAAATGAAAACCAGGACCGTACAGCGGAGGCACGGTAACTAGGAAACGCAACTATAAAACAGATTTCGTACTTTCACAAAACCTTGTATGTGATACAGTCTGAGAGAAAAAAAGCATCCCTTTGACATTTTATACAATCATTATATTTATCTCAATTGTCAGTCAGAGAAAGGTAAAAATGTCCTTTCATACACACGTACACGTGTACTGATGGCTCTTTTTTATCGTTCAATGTCAAACAGAACTCATATAAATAATGTGCAAATGATGTGCTCAACAATATAAAGCGGTTCTGTGCAGCAAAAAACAAGGAATCACACACCTTCACACAGTTACACACACACGCACGCTCACACACACACATTTTAAAGTGAAATTATTTGCATTATTCTAAAAGCTTAACACCAGTGCCCATTCGAAGGTGAACAATGTATGACAGGACAACAAAAACAACAGGTAGGGAATAAACCAAATGCAAGAAATTTGCCTAATTCGTCAAGTCGCCTTTGATCACACAGATAAAAGTGTGGAGATGAACTGCTTTTACTGCTTCGCTTCAGCCAGTCTATTGCTGATCTCTTTGCTCTTCTTTGTGACAGCTCCATCTGGGTTGGCCTCTGGGGCGACCAAAGACGGCTTCTTCTTGGCTGACTGGGAACTAGCAAGCTGCTTCTCTTTTGATTTTTTCACCATTTTCCCTGTTGTTGTTGTTGGTGTCTTTTTTGGTTTGGTGCGAGACACTGGTTTATCCACCTGAAACAGAAGAGAGGTGAAAATCCTGAGAGTACAGACGAAAACAGTCAATTCAACTTAAACCGATGTTAAGGCAATAGTATGATATTTCGGGAAATTCACTTAATCGCTCTCTTGCCAAGAGTTAGATGAGAAAAATCTATGTTTTTCTCATGTCTGTCCATTAAATTAGAAGCTACAGCCAGCAGCCAATAACTTAGCTTGGCAAAAAAAAATCCAAAGGATATGGGCTGGACTATTTCTTCGGGCAATGACGTCTTGGAGTCTTTCCATGACAGCAAGACGGGTAGAAGAGAGCAGCATCGATCTTCTCATCTAACTCCTGGTTAGAAAGCAAATAAGCGCATTTCCCAAAATGTCAAAACTATTCCTTAAAACGATTGCTTGAATAATGGAGAATCTAATTGATGTCAAAGTCATATTTTAGCATGCAATACGTACCTTCTTTACCCCGTTACTTAATATAAAAGACAGGCAAATGACACCAGATGGTAGAGGTGATGTTTGCATTATGTGGCTAGTGCAATGAGGATAAAGGAAAAAAGAAACGCAGCACAAAAGGTGTATTTTGTGCCTTTCCTTTTATAAAACAGTAGTTCGTGCAGTTTTCCATTTAAGTTTTAAAGCAACCATAACATACAATGTTAATGGCTTGTATTAGCATATGATGTTAGTTTTACACCTTAAAGAAAGGATATTATGTTAACATTCAACCATTCATAGTGGTGGCAAAACCCTGACGTTTGAGAAGCAGGCGTGTGACTAGAGGATCGCTGGTTCCAATTCCCATACCAACTGGGAAAATTGAGCAAGGCACTTACTTAGCTTCTCTCTGCTCTTGCTGAATAAAAGACTCATGGATAAGCTCCCAGATCAATTTGTATTCATGAGTTGGTGGACAGCAAAAAAGTTGCATGCTCAACTTTTGCTGAATAAATAAAACTTAAAAAAACGTGTAAGAGATGACAAATGTTTGTAAAAGGCTTTCTTTCTCTAATGAAGGGCTCTGTTTGTGAATTAAAAGGATCTGGTGCTCAGGTGCCACAGACACATGAAAGTGGAATACAGTACGTTATCGGGTGTGGTAGGGGAATGTGTCCTTCATGGCTAAATAACTCTTAAAGTGTACTCTGCACCATGGTGCTTTTAACAATACAGTCCAAATTAGATTAGACACATATACTCATTTTCAGCACACATTCTTGATGCTGTGTGGACCTTGAAGAATAAAGTTAGATCTTCATGGCTGCATCATACTGAACTGCAAACTGCTACGATGCCAATCAGACAGCAAAAGCCAAAAGGATGACATCATCTGCAAACAAGTGTTACCGATGCTTGACACCACTTGCCACTGTCACACACCCTGCTGTGCCTCTCTTCCCTCTTGTGTGCAGTAAAACTGATGGTGAGCCAATTGTGTGTGTTAGTTTCCAAATGTAAAAACTAAAATACCATTTTGCCAAATTAAATGTGCACCATACACTGTCACCAAAATAGAGCCATAAAGAGCAAAGATCTGTTTAAATGTATACTAATTAAATGTGATGAGATGTTTGTCTTATTGGCCTCCACTGATGCAATACATCTCTTTTGTTTTGATTCTCATGTCACTTGGAAAATATCATCTCAGCTCCTTTGTTTCTTCCATTTATCAATGAATCCTCCCCCTTTCATGAACCTCCTTATTTTCATAAAGGCTGGTGGGTGGTGCGGGCTGAGAGGTGGGCAAACGGTGAAGATGTGGCCGATAGTTTTTGCAGGGTTGCGTCTGGCAGCTGCGTGATACGTGTGACTGTGGCTCGTACCGGCCAAGGCGCATACTGAGCGTGTATGTGTGTCCAGTATGTACAATTGCGTCTGATCAATTTGAGGTCAGCCTCCATGCCTTCCAGAAGAAACAGTGAACACACCTGACTACAGCAGATTTAGAACAGAGCTGCTCTCAGTCTCTGAGACGTCCTACAAGAATGAGAGAGGGAGTGGCCATATGAACACACTACTACAGACACATTTTTAACCAAATGTCGTCTAAACTGTCGATAACATGCACCAAGATACCACTCTATGTCACTTGCTGCTATAATACAAAGACCGGATATTATTTAAATGTCAAACTGATGCAATACATATGTTTGTTTTGTTCCAAAGTCACAGACTGGCTATTTAAACTTTTTACTGGCTGATTTATATGCATGATGGAGTAATAAAACAATAAAAATGACTTATTTTGTCAACTAAAATGTCTTAAAATTGAAATATGAAGCTGTTTTGTTTTGTATAATAAGTCTGAGAGCCATCGGGCCACAGAGTGACATTTAAGTAGCAGTGTTTCCAGTGAGTAAGATGCTCATGTTCAAAAGAAAGTCAAACCTAATCCCAAAGTACTAAACCATTTGGTATAGCGGGGCTAACAAATTTTTAGACATGACTACAATTCAGTACTCTTAGAGGAAACTCTTAGAATAGTAAATGGCACTGGTATTTTATAGACCTACAACCAACATCAGTGGATCTGTGTGTGGGCATGCTCTCACCTTGGCAGCTTCCTTGCCAGGCTGACTGTACAGGCTGCGTATCCTCCTGCGGTCGATCAGCTTGTTGTCAGCGGGTTGAGCCTTCACCTGCTCCCCCTTGTATGTGGCGCTGTAGCTGGTTTCCCGACTGGTCTCCTCCACTGGGGGTTTATACTGAGATGGAGCTTTAATGGCCTTCACTGGTTTCACATCCTTATATGCCTTGAACTCAGTCCTACAAACAGTGGGGAAAAAAGCAAGCAGAGAGGTTTCTACGGCCGCAATGTATGATTATTTATTATTAATTCATTTGACAATGAGTTTCCAGATTAACGGATATCTTTGGGCTTTTTGGCCAGTTGTTGAAAAGTTTTCAAAAGAAGCACGTACAACCAGACAATAAGCACTGGACAGAAAAAACATGTCTGCACACTAGATAACGCTCACATGAACATTTAATTGTTTACCACTCGTGACGTTTTGAGCGTCTAGCTCTGATCCCACTGTCTGAAGAATTAGAAAAATATGCACGATTGTTAATTTTAGACAGGAAACAGGTTTTAATCAACTCATAAGAAATTCTAGTTCAAAGATGAACAAGGGTTTCATGTCATCTCTAACGTTTCTTTGTTTATGTTCGATTTATGCGTCTGTGTTCTTCTTCTTCTTCTATGCAACTGCCAATTATTAGCCAGTCATTCATGTAATCAGATTAAGTTTAGTTTTATTGCTCACATCGTAACTCTGCTTTAATAACTGGCACATACATTGGTCAGTTTGAGCTCATTTCAAATAATCCTCTGGAATAACTTTATTTTAACAAACTCAACACAAAATTGAAGGCACTGGTGTGTGTTAACTTCAATAAATCTGTGGGGCAGACTGAAGCCATCGAGTCTCGTTTGCTCGCAGGCATCATGCTTCACTAAATCAATTCAGAGGCAGCCTGCAGAAACCACGTTAAGACACATGATTACATTCAGACCCTTTTACTGGCTCTTCTCATTCATGGGCTACTCACTGCATTGATTCGGTAGTACTCTGAGGGGGGATAGAGCAGGAGCAAATCAATGAGGCAACCTTTGTCTGTGGCAGTATCAGTTTGCTTTGGAAATCGCTGGAGATTGTAACAAGAGACCATGCAATACCAAATAAACCTAAGTGTTTTATCACTGGACACAGCAGAGGGGCATGCAGCAGCTGCCTCTGTGGGGTAGTTGTGATAATGTCAGAAATGTTGTGTACTGTGCAGCCCTGTTGAAAGCTGAAAGAAAACGTCTCAGTTGCAACTCTTTATGACGCACAAAGGCTTTTATTTCAATGCTCTGAGAATAAACACTCATACTACACGATCACCGCAGACTTACCTATAGCTGCTAGAAGTCGACATGACCTGCTTGATCTGTCTGTTCAGAGCGTCTGCAGCTGCTCTGCCTTTCCTCTCCTCGGCGCTCACGTCTGCGGGCACCTGATCTTCCGTCTTCTCAGCCGTCTGTCTCTCTGCCGACTTTTCCCTCTTCACGCTTCTCTTGGCCGGCTCCTTTGGCTCTTTCTCCTGCGTTTTCTCCTCGATCTCGCTCTTCTCCACGCCGCTCTCGGCCTCGGCGGCCGCATGATCCAGTTTAGCGCTCCCTGCGCTCCGCTCCGGCCCACCGGAGGTCGCGGCGGGCGCGGCGGCGGGGCTGGGTTTGGGTATCCAAGGGTGGTCGTGCTTCTTCGGTATAGGCCAGGGCTTGTAATCCTTCTGGTACTGAGTTTTGGTATTGAACGGGGCCTCCGAGCGTTGGAACTCATCCCTGGGCTTGCAGCAGGGCTCGGGGCGCACATTCCACGCCTTGTAGTCTTGGCGCATGACGGACGCTGCAGAGCCATCTTTGCCCGCTGCGGCACCCGTCGCGGGCGGTGCCTTCCCGGGCTCATGCTCGTCGGGATGGGGCTGGGTTTCTATGGCAATGCCTCCGGCCTTCTTCTGTCTCGGCTGCGGGTGATGGGCAAGACGCTGCACGCCGGCCACATCCGAATATTTGGTGAAAACCAAAGGCACCGCCATGTCCGCTTTGTCCAGCTCCGTCCAAAAGCGGTTGATGCAGCAAGCACGCGTGATGCACGGCCATGCCATGATGATGATGATAAAAACTACGAGGCTGCCGAGAAAAAGATGCGCAGAAAAAAAAGCTCTAGATGGGCGATAAACGTGTAAACAAAAGTCCTATACTCACGTCTCGAAGACTTGCAAATGCTCGGTCACTCCCCCTGTATACTCAGTTTGTCCAGTCAGGGTGATCCCTCCTTATAGCTTTATATAAATATGCTCTTACCGATCTTCACCCTTCGCTCTCCTCCTGCAGCCGAGCTGTTCTTACCGAAGTTTAAATGGACTTTGGAGTGTTTTGCACGTTGCTGTCTGGTTGCGCATCAAAGCGACCCCACCCACATTTGTGTGATGCTTCCGAGATGCCCGGGGTCTGAGTTTGCACGGTGAACTATCACCTGAGCTCGTCACCGTCTGGCCAGCGGAGAGGGAGGAGACACGTTTAACCACATGGGCTGCCATGTCAGGAAATGCCAACTTGAAACAACAGAGGATGTACCAGCAGCATGTTGTTCCACCTCGAGGAAATGGCCGATTACTATAAAAAAAATAAAGGTTTACTTTATAAAATATCAAACTCTAGGGCCTTTGCCTTGATGCTTCAGGCAGTAACTAGATGGATATAATCATTATGTATGCATATAACTGAGGAAAGAGGAAACATTTACATAAAGCTCACTCAAAGTGCCTTCATTTTGCTTTCTAGGCATTATTTTTTATTGAACCAAACAGAAAACACATTGTGGAAGTTATGTAAAAAATGTAAATGACTACTTTGTGTAAAAAGAGAGTCTTCCAATTGAGCATGCTGATGTTGGTGTAACTGCTCCCTCTTGTGCTCTTCCTGCCTCATAGTCAGTGGAAAGGCATAGATGTGCTGTCTACCAACAAAGCGACTTGTGGATTAAAAGCACATAATAAAGAAACGTCAACAGTAAATGAGCTGTTTATGGCAGATTTGCAAATTATTTTTTTACTACATACAATAAGAACACGGGTCATTTCTTTTTTTTCTGCGAATCATCAGGACTGAACAAATGGGATCCATCATCTCTTAACAAAACCATTAAAATCATTAGCTCTCATATCCATGTGCACATACATCAAAACATCAACGAGCGACCAAATGAGGATGTTTTTATGACCGACAGCATATCTGTTTCCTTCACTTTTGTCCCAGAACAGCTGAGCGAGCTCGGTGTTTGTGTCAAATCATTTCGTCACAGCTTCTTCCTCAATCACTTCCCCAGCATCAGCTTCAGCCACTTCCCCAGCATCAGCCACTTCCCCAGCCTCAGCTTCAGCCACTTCCCCAGCATCAGCTTCAGCCACTTCCCCAGCCTCAGCTTCAGCCACTTCCCCAGCATCAGTCTCAGGATCGTCCTCCGGATAGAGTCTGCAATATTTGTCTACCATGACATCCAAGTCATGTTTGACATGAGTGTTGACGTTCAGCATCGCCAGACTTTTGTTCCACTGCTTAGCGGGCACGCTGTCGAGATGAGCCTGCAGCCGGTCGCTCGCCTTGTCGCTTTTGTTGTCCTCTAGTTTCAGCACCGGCAAGGCGGAAAGCACCTTGAGGAAAGAGTTCACATTGGGAAAGAACTTGACGTCTGGCAGCTGAAGGGTTTCGTGGATGGTGGTGGGCAGGCGCACCTCTTTGCCCCGGTGCTTCCACTTGATTCTCCAGCAGTGGAGCTCTGCAGGAAGCGTGTCCGGGCTGGGGAGGTCGTTGCGGTACACGTCTGCGTAGTTCTCCTCGGTGGTGTTGAACTTCATTTGCCCCATGACGGCTGGGACCAGGGACAGGCACTTGAGAGCTTTGAGGTTGGTCTCGGAGAACATGTCCTCCACCTCCTGCATGATGCCGTGGATAACGGGGACGGTCACATACTCCTTAAAATACGCCTCCGCTTGGATTTCACCCACATCGGCCGCACGCTGTTTCCTTAGAAACAACCTCGGCACCTTCACGGGAATCTCCATGACGTTGGCCACGCTCACCGCCTCCTCGTACCAGAACTCGTGGTAGACATCGATGTTGTCGTTGACCTCGTTTAATGAATGGAGGACAGCAGTGAGGCTGTTGGCGGCAAAAAACACATCGAGTGTTTCCCCTTGCAGATTCCTCCCGAAGGCTCTGGTGAATGTGAGGACATTCTTTAAGATGACGACGGTGACGATGATCTCAAAGTCGGACAGAGTTTCCGCGACTGAATACGCATTCGCTGCAACAGTGTCGGCAAACTTCCCCTCATCATTGTCCCGGATGCCGTCCATGCACAGCAGCAGGGGCGGCAGCATATCCAGCAGCACATCGAAGACGTTGTGCTGCTCGGTCCATCCTGAGGCACAGGCTTGTTTCAGCGAAGCTCCTTTCTCTTCGTTCTTCTGGTAGTGAGTAGAGACGGCTTTTTCAAGTTCCTCCTGTGTGAACGGGGTTCTGAAAAAAGCGCCAATCCTTCTCAGAGTCTCCATGACCACCTGGACATTGGGAAAAGGCAGACTGTTGGCCAGGTGGACGTTCAGTGCCATGTGAGAGCAAGGCATGTGCAACGCCAGAGGGTACTTCTCCATCAGCAACACTGCCACCGCTTTCATCTTGGTGGTAGACGTCCCGGTGGCCTTGTGGGCCTGCCCACGGCAGTCCTCCATGCTGAGCCCCCAGCGGTCGGTCAGCTGGGCCTCCAGCCTCTCCACCAGCGCCGACTCATCGCCATCAAAAGATATGAAGTCCAAAAACTCTTCTCTGAGGACGTTGTGCTGATTCACAAAGTGTACAAACAAAGGCAGGTGCTTCTCGTTGGCAAACTCAACAAGGTCCCCCGACACTAGGGAGAAGAAGCGGCTCTCTCTCACCTCCATCAGCATCTCCTCTCTCACCGTGTTCTCGCAGATGTCCAACAGCTGGTTCTGCTGGGTTGCAGAGACGTATTCCGTGTTCACAGCCGTCGCCTGAAATCTCTTTTTCAGAGCTTCGTCACCAGCGTTCATGCGGTAATCGAGAAGGGCCTGGAAGTTGTTCGACATGTATTCAGCTTCAGATGCTTTGCCAGCCGCTAACGGGATACTCTGCTTTCCTAACATGACCACGACCTCAAACAGCGACCGCAGGTATTCACGACACTCCTTTTCCTCTGTGGACAGTTGCGGCTCATCCTCAGTGGTGCTTGTGCTGTCCTCAACTGCATCTTTTTTGGAAGCAAGCTGTTCAATAGAAGACGCCACTGGGGAGGGAAAGAAACAAACAATAAAGGACACCGATTTCAGTAAATACTGAATAAAATGAACATGTGATTATTTAACTTTACTGGCAACAAATAAGTTCCACATTGACTTACATCTCCTTTCTTTAATCTTCCTCAGATCTTCTTCAGTCTGAAATTACAAACTTATGTTAATTTACAAATCTCAAACTACCAAGGTTAAGCTGTGCATTTAAAACAGCAGAACTAATAAATATTGTTCTTACAAGTTCTTTAATCCGCTTGCGATGTCTGGTATGAGGATTTTTTAGATGGCTTGTCAGATCAAATATGGTTGGAATGGCTGTATCCTTCAACACAGTCCTGTAGGGGCTCTGAAAAGCAACACACTCAAATAAGTCATTTTCTGGGACACTTGTAGTTTTTTGAGAAACAAGTGGAAACATGCTGGCAGGCACTTTAGCATTGTGTTAGATACTCACTGTTTTGCACACCATCGCTGGGTCGAAGTGTTTGGCACATAATCTGTAGTGCTTGTTCAACTGGTCCGATGTTTTCGCTTCGAGGTCTGCTCTGCGGCAGTTCTCTACCCAGATTCGGCATCTAAAAAAAGACAAGACAGACGAGCTTTATGGGACATTTGAAAAACAGTAGTGAACCCAGACAGTAGCTGTGTTACACTTCGTCTAACAACTTCATTTGGGATAAGTGCATTAAAAATGACAACATGCACACTAAACCTTTTGAGGAGATGCACTTATGACTTCTGGTGACTAGTAGTTCTCTTGAATACCTATGTTGAACACACTTATTGTAAGTCGCTTTGGATAAAAGCGACTGCTAAATGACTGTACTGTAATATAATGAGTGTGGTGTTGACAGACATCGAAAAAAAACTTTTTTGCCACAACTCAGAATGTGAAGAAATGAAATTATTTGTGTGCAGTTTGCATGTTGGAGCCTCAAGTTACTCCTGGGTCACTTAACGTTACCAAATATCGTTATACAGCATCAATATGTACCTCCAAGTATCAGTGAACATGGTGGTTTTCTGTAAAACATGTTAACATGAACCGTGCAGAGATATTGTAAAGTTGAGACGTCAACATAAAAAACATATTGAGGCACTGCGTAGGTTAGTAGCTCCCGTTAACTTTGCACATGTTATGATTTATCAGTCATTGTAACCTATGAAAGCGCACAACGCTACCGGTTGTTACATGAATATTTAGGGGTAACGTTAGAGATTACGTTTTACCTCTCTGGGTCACGTGGAAACCGAAAAAAAGCCAAATCGGACTGTGTGCTCTTCCGTGTACAGTTTGGGGCCGCGCAAAAATTCGGCATGCTTCCACCTAGGTAGCTAGCTTAGCTAACTTAGCTGACTACTATCATCTGCTAACTTTAGCGCTTTCGTAGAGAGACTCGCGTGGAGTCTAACGCAAACGGAGAATAAATATGATCCCAAATAGTGTCCGACAGGGGTTTCCATAAACAACTATCACTCAGCTTCAACTAGATTCACGATCACAAAGGTTCAATTTGGAGGAGATAGTTTTGCAAGACGATGACCCGCCCACAAGGCACCTGATTGGCCATAGCAAAAGTCTGGGATAAAGCTATTGGTTTCTATCGACCAATTAAAAGACGACTTCATCCTTGAATACTATGACAGCTCCTACTGGCGCACTGCTGCCTTCCACTGGGTGGCTCAGGCCACTACAAAACAGGAGCTAACGTTAGCTAGAAACAGGAGCTAACGTTAGCTAGCTAAAGGGTAACGATAGGCCCATCGTTTATTGTCTGTATCCAGGCTATCAGCGATCGTGCGACGGCCGGTGTCGATGTAGGCAATTTAACTGACCGTGTAGAGTGGCAACAGATAGCTAGCTATTCTAGAATAAATATAAATTAATTCAGCAATTAATATATTAACGTTAGCAATCGGTAGCTATGTATTAGCGTTTACCAGTACCATTGATACCTCTTACTCATTTCCTCCCAGTCGGTCTTAGCTGTCTACTTAGCGAGCTTAATTATGTAGCTAGATTGCTTCTAAATCTTTAAAATACGAACAGTGAAATATGATAAAGAACGTATGTATCCGTATGTGAACACGGCTCGTTGGTCTAGGGGTATGATTCTCGCTTAGGGTGCGAGAGGTCCCGGGTTCAAATCCCGGACGAGCCCTCGGTCTTTTTTTAAATTAAGAAACATAACATTTTTATTACCGAGAACCATATCACTCTTGACACGCCCAACATCTAAAATCTCGGTAAATAATAAAATAGTCAACATCCCAAAATCAAATAACCGCATAATTTGAAAGTAGTGTGTCAATTGTTTTTGCCATTTCCTTCGAAATTACGTTGCAATATGACCAAACGTTAACAAACTATTAGTCATCCATCGCATAAAATACTATGGGCTCGTCCGGGATTTGAACCCGGGACCTCTCGCACCCGAAGCGAGAATCATACCCCTAGACCAACGAGCCAGAACGTCATAATATGGCATCTGTTCTTTTATAAAATACGGAAACGATAAGTGGTCTGTCATTTTTATAGCACCTTTGTGATAATTTAATTTTGTGGGCAGGAAGATTTCCATGAAGAGTCAGCTCTTCTTGGAAATAAAGAGTGAGCTCTTCTTGGAAATCAGCTAATACAGATGGAGAACAATAAAGACACACAGAAGAATTCAATTAACTTCTTTTTATATATCATACATAAGACTGTCTTAATATAATACAAAGGGCATTGTCATAAACACAGCAAAGTCTTGACTAGATCTTACAATCTGTGGATACATGGACTTATCCTTTCCCCCATGCTGTTCAATTCTATAGTGCATGTTGCATGTACAAAAAAAGTGAAAAAATGTGAAATCAAAAATGACAAGGATAAATCCAAATTAAATAAGAGGATTTCAACTTCTGTTGGGTGTTCAGATATGTCGACAAGTATACGTGTTTGTGTATAACCCACAAACTGACCAGGCTTATGAAAGATGGAACCTTATTTTCAACCATGTGCTTCTCATATAACCAAAAAGTAAGGTTTGTGATGTACATGCACTTACAATATACCCTGTGAAAATTATTAAGGTTTGAAGATCTAGCTTTCCCTGTTTGATTCAAACCCTACCTCATAGTGTTGTCCTGATGTAGTCAAGTACCTTTGCCAAAAGGCAAGGTTTTGCCACTAAGAAAACAGGAGTTCCTGCCCACTGAATGGTCACCAAATTGACAAACATAATCAACATACCAGCAGGAGCAAGGTAGTGAGTTCTATACTTCCTTTATTAAAAAAATATAAATATATACATAAATTCTATTTCAACTATTAAAAAGGGGCTGCATTTCATGACAACTGCTCTAAATAAGAGGTCAATCAGCATGATCTGAAATAGGCGCACACTTACGAGTCACTGCAGTCAATTTTTTTTCTTTTTCAGTCTTTATTTTTGGAATGTTTAGTACCAGTATGAGAGCCAGTAATAAAACCACTGGCAATTTCTAAATGTCTCAAATTCTGCGGGGTATGAAAAAATGATTGCAAATTTGCAATTAACCTTGACATCCAGATAAAACCCCAATCTCAATATAGGTAGCTTTACATTTGTGTTTGTGGAAATACCAAGCACGGTGTCTTATGATGGTTTCTCCTTTAAAATGGCAACAGCATGACCTGTGGCCTGCCCTTAAATTTGAATGGTGGCTGTGGGCAGGTTTTTCTGTTTAATTTCAAAGCTGGTAAAATGAGCAACAGAAGAAAGAAAGCACTTCAAAATCCCTGATATAAAAAAAAAAAAAAAGAAAAAAAAAAAAAAAAAAAAAAAAAAGGATCTGGTTATTGACTAATGTTTTGAGGACATGTCTGCCGAGGCCGAGCATGTGATTGTGGGCTTACGGACACCCTTTCCCTTTGAATAGGACAACAATCATGGGGGATCTGCCCTACCAAATCAGAGAAATACCATTCAACACAAACTGATTTGCCACAATTATCCTTACCCTGCCAAAGACGATGACGTTAAGTCATGCTTCACAGCAGAAACTAGCCAAGTTGACCAAATGATGTATGAAAGGCAGCAAAACCCTTTGAAATAGTATGATGGGGGCAAAAGAAAAACGACGACACAGAAATAGAACGCATTAGTCTCCTTTTTTTTTTTTTTTTCTTTTTTTTTTTTTTTAACCATCAGCTTCTATCTTGCTACTCCGGAGCCTGCAGAGTAACTACCAAATTTTCTAAACATACCAAAGTTTTTAAAAGACTCCCAAAATAATCTACCAATTAATATGGAAACAGTTTTGGTAAAACGTTGCAAACAAATCTGGCCAGAATACACGATAGCCAACGGTCTCAACAACGGTCTCCAGTTTTGCTAAAGTAATATATTGCAGCTGTTTGTATTGACGTTAAAATAAGATCTTGATAAACTTTGCGTCAAAGTGGTGAACTGCTACATTATTGGTTACAGACACCTATATGCTATAAAACAACTGCTTTGGTATAAAAACATATCCAAAGGGAAAATAAATTCTTGTAAAATTCACAGCATAATTTGAGGAGAAAAAAGGCAGTCACTTAACTCGTTTTTTTTCTTCAGTTTCCATGTTTTGGATGGAGAGACTTGTGCAGGTGGTTCTGATGAGGAACTACATGCAAAAGGGAAAAATAACAAAACATAAAAGGGTAGACTCTGGAATAGATAGTTCTTTCCACTGCAAAATCCTTAACCAGTGAATAAGATTTTCAAGGAAGTAATGTTTAGGAGGTTGTTGTGTACAATAAGACCCTGTTATGTGGGGCCCTGCTGAAGAAGAAATCTTTGTCGAGAAAGGCCTCAAATTACCATTCTTATTTACCTTTTCTAAGTTGTTTTTAATTTCCTTAAAGAATTAAGGGCTGTCTAGAGAGAAAAATAGAGAAAAGCCATCTTAATTCAAATGATAATGTCCAGCTCCATCCCATCCCAAGTCCATGAGTCATAAGGCCAAAGGGTTATCTAGAACCAGCCGCTGACTGTCTTCCTTTACCGGGGCTGGATCCTTTCGTCTCCGGCGCCCATCGCTGCTCTCATCTGTGCCGGGGCCTACGGGGGCCTCTAGGCCTGAGGGGTGGTGCTCCCCCCTCTCTCCTTTGACCCAGTTGGTGTCAGTATCCACCCGCGGGGTCTCCTCTCTCCGCCCGGGCCAGCACACGCTATAGGGACTCCACTGCTATGTGCTCCCCTTTAACAGAGTTACACAATACCGACCAACAACAAGAAATATCACCGCAAACACTTCCCCCTCATTGTCAAGCTACAGGATTTACAAGCAGCTTTTTACGAGAAATTTCACTGAAAAAAAGGGCAAAATAATTAAGAACCAGTGGAACAATAATGTCAGGCAGTCCACAGTTTGAACCGAAAGAGGACGCCAAGCATTTCATCACCAACAGCTACCTGCAAAACAGCTTCAAACTTTGCTCTGAAATGCTCCTTAGAAGATTTTTGCCACATAATACCATATGGTGATTACTTGGTGGTTACATGAAACTGGTGAAATGGCAAGATGGATGTCTCAATCTCACTATGGTTATTCTGCAGTATTATTTTGTGCCTAATGATTGCAAAAGAAAAAAAAAAAGAAAAAGAAAAAAAAAAAGAAAAAGAAAAAAATCGGATGAAAATTACATATATACTTTTTAACAAAGCTTTTTCTCTGTAGTAGCGGTTCAGTGATATCTCCCTTCTGACGTGAGCAGCTTTTGTTCTCAACACACCTTGTAGTAAAAAACACCACCTTAAAAATGACGCACAGGGGGGAACACACAGCCAAATGTCAGTGCAGTCACGAGCTGGCCATAGAACTCTGCTGCACACACACTCCAGTCATTGGAGACTCCTCCCGGTCCATGCCCTGCCTCATGCCCAGGTGGCCCTCCGCTAGGTAGTGGGCAGGCCCCGTGTTCGTGCCCATGGAGAATGCGGGGTGCGCCGCCATGCCCGTCTCCTGCCGTGGGTTCGAGAAGGCACCTAGCCCCATGCTCAGCCCACCGTTCTGACCAAAGTCAAGGGCTCCGGCAGGCAAATGGCGGAGCTGGTAGGCCTGGTTGCCATGGTTCCCAGTGGAAGAGGACGATGTAGAGGAAGAGGAGGCAGAGGAAGACAGGGAGGTCATGGACAGGTGGCCGTGAACCACCTCCATGGAGTCCTGTGTTGAGGAGCTGTGTGTCGGGGAGGTGTAGTGGCGTGGGCGTGGTCGTGTCGCCATCATCTGCCCGTGGTGGTGATGAGCATGTGAGTGGGGATGCAGGGCCTTAGGGTGCTGAGGGGGGACATGGAAGGTGGTCTCCTGGACTGGGTGAGTCTCTCCAGTGACCGCCTCTGGTCCAACACCACCTCCCCACACCAGCGGGGGTGGGTAAGGCTGTCTTGCCTGAACAAAGTCAAAAAGATAACAAGAGTGAGTTGTTGAATATGGCCGCACCATTTTTAAAGGTTTCAGATAAGGATTTATTTTATTGTTATGGTCATGACATAATACCTCCCAATTTAGGAAGTATACATGTTGCATTCATAAGATCCTACTTTAAGACCACAGTTTCTGAATTTCATTTAGTTAACTCAGCCAAAATCAAGGGATTTTTATATTAGTATTAACCTCTTTAAACTGTTCTGAAAATATCTTTATTAGGAAAGCTTAAAATAAAAAGGGGCAGCCTCCATGCACATGCAAAATGAGCAAAAATGTACTCAGATTTCAGAAATAGAAAAAAATAATATCACACTCAAATGATAATTTACCACCATCACACTAGCTCCCCTCAGTATCAGGTGAACATACAGATGGTTCCGGGCTTCTCACTGACCTGTGGGCAGAGGCTGTCACCGTCGATGGTAGGCAAGGCCGCGCCAAAGTGTCCTCCACTGTGCAAGTGGTGATGGGTCGGGTCTGACCTGGCTCTGCCACTGGTACTAGTCCCAGATGATCCTCCTAAGGGTTAAACAAAAGTGTCACAACAACCGATACACACAATTTCTTTCACTACTTTACGTGACGGACAGCCGAGCAGCAGGGTTCTCAGGTGGACAGTTACCTGAACTAGAGGAGGTGCTGGAGGTGGTTCCTGAAGACTGGGACTGCTCTAACGCGGGGCTCGTGGACACGCTGCTGCTCGTATTGGTCCCCTCGTCCGCAGTCTTCTTGAAGAAGCTGTGCTGCAGGGCATAGTAGGGCTGGATGCGGCTCTTAGGGTCATAGTCCAACATCCGGAGGATCAGGTCCTTGAACTTCAAGTAGTCAGCAACAGCGTGGCCAGACTCCCCCGCCCGCCGGCCACCTGGACCCCCTGTCTCCACACCCAGGATGGAGTGGAGCTTCCGAGAGGCTGGAGGCTTATACTGTTTAAAGGCAGAGTACACAAAGATTAAGAGATTTACTCAGCCATGCCAGCTGTATATCATCACTCACACATCTTTCAGTCAGCAATAAAAAACAAAAAGAAATGAGCTCACCCTTTTGCCATCTTTGGTCTTCTTAACACTCCATGTACCATCTGAAAGCTTCTCAAAGAACTTCCTGGCTTTTGGGGCTAGGTCCATTATGTGATTCGGTGGGATACCAAGAACCTCGACTATTTTGTTCATCTGGTCCACCTGGGGAACAAGTTATTCATCAGGTTACTGTAACATTTACACTGGACATCTTAAGCTGACTTAATTGTCAGAACATTTAGGCAAACGGCCACCATTACTGGAAACAACTATTTGAAGACTTGACAACTAAGTGCTGTGTGATGTGGGTTAGGCTTGATCTTTGAGGCCTAAATGACATTCGTAAGATACACATCAGGGGGAAGAACTACAACACAAAGTATTTCAGCTTCTTATACCTCATTAGCTCCGCTAAAGAGAGGTTCTCCAGTGTGCATCTCTACCAAGATGCAACCCAAGGACCACATGTCGATGGCCAGGTCATAGGGCATTCCCAGCAGCACCTCTGGGGAACGGTAGAAGCGACTCTGGATATATTGGTATATCTACAAAAAGAAAGCACGGACAGTCAGACTTCCTGCTTGTAATCTCTGAATGAGCTTTTCATTACACCCAACGTCTCAAAGCAACAACCATCGCACACTTCTCAGAGACATTCTTGCATACATTAATTTTATTGCTGATAAGAAGAACAAAACTGCAGCTAGATACCCTTTGTCCCAGTTGGCATGAGCTGCCAAAGTCCACTATTTTGATGGCACTCCTCTTGGGGTTACAGAGGAGAATGTTTTCAGGCTTCAGGTCACAGTGGATGATGCTGAGCTCAGGCGTGGCCAGGAAGAGCAGCGCCGTGCATAGCTGCTGGGCAAACTTCCGGGTGAGGTTGAGTGAGACGCCGCGGAAGTTGGTATTTCGAAGTAGGTCGTACAAGTTGTAGGAAAGCATCTCAAACACGAGGCAGAGGTGGTTCCGGAACATGAAGTGACGCTTCAGGTGAACTGCAGAAAAAAAACAAATTGCCCCCATGTTAGTCAAATACAAGAAAGGCCTTCTACATTTCTTTTATAAGTCTCATCAGATCTCAGGCGAGTAGATTACCGATGTAGTATTTCATCTCGGTGTCATGTTTGTTCATGAGCTCTAGGAGGCGCACTTCAATCTGGGCTTGATTGAGGAAAGCTTTCTTGTTCTTGATGATCTTAATGGCAACCCATTCCTGCTCAGCACGGTCGTACGCTTTCACAACCTGAAGATGCCGACAAGAACACATTTGAATCATCCCTGACGGATAAATAGGAACAGCTCCTTTGATAACAAACATCTACATTTGAAAAGCTAACTGCACATGAAAATTCTTCAGTAAGTAGCGAACATCTTGCTGTTATGTATAGAGAGGAAAATGAAACCATCATTTGTTTCTCCAAGTTCAAGTCAATTGTCTCTGTCACATGCTCAAACTAAGAGGGTGTGTGTGTGTGTGTGATTTATAATTAAGCACCTGTCCAAATGATCCTTTTCCTATCAAGGAATCAATCTCATAGCGGTCCATCCACTTCTCCCCATTCTTGACGATGTAGTCATAGTTATCATCGTCATAGCCATCATTGAAGACTTTCCTCTCTTTTTTGTGACTGGAGTCTTCACCCTGACCCTGTTGGTGCCGTCGCTTCTTTTTTGCATAATACACCTATAAATTAAACAAGTGAACAATTCCCATGATCACATTTGAAGACGTTTCATATTACTCTTGAATTTTCAGCATTTCGCAAATCTTTACAATGCAACATACAGATGATTTAGAGCAAGGCATTTAATCGGGAAAACAAACCTCATTGATGTGTTTGTATGTTTTGATAAGGTCAATGGAGAGCTTCCTCAGGGGAGCTGAAGTTGGGTCACGAAAGCACTGGGGCATGTGCCTCTGAAGTATCAGATGGGAAAATCACAACATTTCAGAAAACAAACAATATGCACAGCACATTTGTAAGTAGCAGGGCTTATTGAAATTGCTTATGGAAAAAAATCTTAGAGGCCATTTATTAAAATGTATAAAATATATATTGCACAAGTTTGAAATGGCTAGACTGAAAGAACATGTACAAGCAGCTACTCTGCCTGGTGACAGCAGCACAGAGGGAAGTATACTTTCATATCACATTGAGTATTGCAATTCTTGTAACACTAGACATGAAGACGAACAGAAGTAAGAGAGCTAGGGGTAGGGTAGGGGTAGTGTACCTGATTGGCAGTGAGCTGTGGTGTCTGGTCGCTGTACGGTAAGACCGTAACAGATTGGTCAGTGCTTGGCTGGTGGCGGTCACTGTACTGCTGGTGCGTATGGGGCATTGGAGCAGCCATCTGAAGACCAGCAGTGTGTAAAGAAAAAGAGGGCGCAAGCCGGACGGACGAAGGTTTGCATGCTGAAGTCTCTCCTCCTAGAAGACATGAACACTGCTATGAGCTGCACATTACCTTAATTCAACATTAAATGTAACAAAACACACAAGAGGAAAAAGGCTAATGATCGTTATGTAAAACGGCAGTATTTCCTCTTCCATACAGGCAGTTCACGGCCTAAAAATAAAACAGATAAAGATAGTTGCTTCTTATTGTACAGATTTAATATAAAAGTGCATTATTATAATATATACATATATGTATACAAAAATGCAAAGTATGCATTTGTAATATTTATATGCATGTTGAAATGATCACTAAAACAGACAAAATGATCATAAGATGTTGAGAACAATAAAAAGGATTAATTTATTGCTAAGAGAAATCTCAGATAAATACTAAGTTTCTTTTGTTCAACATGTAAGTTCAGAAAAAATGCATCAAAGGATAACATACAATAAATTATAGCAGTAATATATCAACCTTTGTGAAGAAAAAGGAGCAAAACAGCAGGTTTAACAGTGAAAAGGGGTGAAAATAAAGCATCTCCACACTACACAGTGAATCATCCTTCATTTTAAGCCAGAAGGAATCAAAAAAATATCAAATAGCATGTGCAGCTATCAGCATCTCTCACCAGACAACACAATTCACCAGTGCTACACAGTAACCACTATTCAGAATCCCAGCAACAGCACCTAATTAGCATAGCCTATCACCACAGAGATACAGCGTGATTTGGCAAGCCCATCAATGCACAGACCAATCACAACGCAGTATGCAAATAGCCTACTTTTGTTGCCAGGGCAGAGCTGCTCCCATTTTCCAATGAGAAAACAAGAAATAAACAAGAAATAAAAATTGAACTTTGGCACACTTAGACGCTGCTTTCAACACAAGAGCCTGACAGCAAAATAGCTGCACAGCCCAAAACCTGCACTCCATCTGAGAGCATTAGAAAGCTGACCCAGCTCTGGAAAAGGAAAATATACACATCCACTGACGGAAATAAGAGGAACTGTAGGGTGGTAGAGCACAGTCAAAGCCTGTATTTAAAAAAAAATAAAATTTTATATATATATATATATATATATATATATATATATATATATATATATAAAAATAAAATGTTTTTTTTTTTTTTTTTTATTGTTCTTATTTTAAAATAAAATAAAATAACTTTTTAAAATAAGATCTTGTGTTGCAAGGATGGTACAAGTGATACTTTAAAAGTAAAACTAATGTTGTTCAATTAGATAGGCCTAATATCCAATATTCTTTACTTTTATCTTTTTATAGACAAATATATTTAAAGCACTGAAATGATAGGACTGATATTTCATTATGAGTGTGTCTATTTTCAGCGTGTTCAGCTGAGACCTGAAAACAATCATTTGGAGCTCTGTCATTAAATGTAAAGTTAAACTACATTAAATTGATATTTAAATACTGCATTGACCAATGCTAATAATGACTAAACATTGCTTGATTGTTTCCCACTAAAGAATGTCCTAAAATGTGTAAGTCTGGATGTCTGATTCAAAACAGCCAAATAACTAAAAGAGAAGATCTTAGGTGCACCACTTCCCACCAAAGGGTTAAGGCTTAATATATAGCATGTAAAATGTAATGTAAAATATCATATCATCCTGGGAGAAGAGTCCAGCAGCAAACCACTACCCACTACAAAGAATGAAAACTGATCATCATTGTGCATCTTTGGTGGGGATTTAACTTCATAGTAGTTAAACTTTTGTTGAGAAGGGACAGAGGACCCCTGGAGAATAGAGGACACCCCAAAACTTTGAAAAGTGTGCTCGGGGTAAATGGTGGAACTTTTGGGGATTTTTAAAAATAATTATGAAATTCTGCTGCTTGTAGATCAACTGTCAAAAGCAGTTAATGCTGAAGACAGTGGCATTTATAAAACACAAAAGATCTGAAGCTCTTATGAAACTGTTAAAAGAGGAATAGTTCACTCAGAGTGGCACAGAGTACAATTAACAAAACAAATGAGGATTAATATTATTGTCGACTTGGTTTTGGTTCTCCTCTTTACATGCCTATAGTTAATATATATTTGTAATTATAGTGGATTTTAAGACATGAAATATACTTAAAAAAATAGGGAGCCCAACTCAAGTTACCGTGCAAAGTCATAATATAGTACTGTACGTTGCTGTATCATTCAAATGAACAAATAACTTAAAAGGTTTGGTTTGAGCTCATTTAAGAAACAGAATACCTGATATCAGACTAGCTGTAGAGTGAATTTGGCTTTTTTTAAATCACTAACCCTAATGGGAAAAAAAATCCAAGCTGTATTTGACAATAAAGCCATTTTGCACGCGCACTTGTAGCTCTTTACAAAACGTTTGATTATTCTTCATTTTCAGTACTGACATATGAACAGTTCCTTTCCTGGCTTCACTCACCACGGAATCAACGGGCCTATTTAGGTGTAAATATAACGACAGCTAGCATGCTATTAGTAGCTGTATCAGAAGTGATAGCTGAAGACCTCTGTAACGAGCCTGTGTGTCATCTTCTCACGCCCAACCGATACGATCCAAAAGATGAATCAAATGCAACCCGTCCAGAACAATTAAACGCCTAACGTCCGTGCATGAAGACGGTGTAACTCTGTACTTACAGATGATGGGGTAGATCTCGTCATGGTTGGAATTTAGAAAGCATATTCAGTGTTAATTCGCGTTCTCTCTTCCTACATATTGTTCGTGTATGCCTCCAATTCCAAACGTATTCACGCTCACGTTACCGTTAGCGGTCTAACTAGCTAACGCTGTCGTCGTTATAACGTTACCGTGAAAACTGCGGGACAAGCGAGCACATCTCTCACCAATCCAACGTTAACGTTAGCTAGTGACGCTGCTGGGCCCACTCAGCTGGTTCGTCAACAAGCCGTTAACCATTAGCCAGGTTAGCAACGAGCTATCAGGCGTTAGCCAGGTTATCGTTAGCTAGGTGAGCAACTCTAAAACACAAACTACACCTAACGTTGATATTTACACAATAAGACATTGCATCCGCGGTAAATCAAACAGGGCTGTTAGCTAACACAACAGCTTAAATGGTACCTTGCAATGACAGTGTGTTATATCGCAGGGTGAACGTTAGCTGTACCGTTCGATTCGTCCGTTGGACCCTCCTGACAACAAGCTACAGAACTGTTCTGGATTCCGATTCAAATTAGTCCGTTGACCTACTGACTGGACTAGAATGTTAACGCTGGCTTCACCGCCACAAAATGTAAGCTAGCCGCCATACCATAAGCTACTATTCTCAACTTCACTGTCGCGTCCATCATTGTTAACCATTCACGTTACATATATATTTATATATATACACAACTGCAAAAGCCTTAACGTAACATTTTAAACTGATGAAGGCTAGGGTTAAACGTAAGATTTAACAAATGCTCACCTCTGATGGCACGATCTTCATTTAAAGTCCAATAACCTGTATGATGAGGAAACTTATCCAGCTTGAGATTCTCCCCTCCCTGCACGGTTAGCGATGTTAACGTTAAATGCAATCCGCGTCCTCTGATCGGCAAAACTCTAGAATAATTCGCCAGCCAGATTTAATACGCTTTTCATATCCCAAGCTTTGGTGAACAACATTGGAGATTGAAGCAACTTTGACTAACAGCTGATGACTAGCAACATGCTAACGTTAACTAGCACGCATAACTCACTAGCTAACCTTAGCGAACTGGCTAGCTAGTTGACAAAATGAAGCTAACATTAGCTACCTGCCCTGGCTAGCTGTAGCTTCTTTGGCTAGCCTCGAGCTAACGATTCTAGCTACCGCTAAATAAACGTTATGCCAAATTCCGATTTTACCGTGTCTTTGCAAATTTTGCGTCGGTCACTTCGATGGTTACGACAGTACAGTTAAATCCAGAGTGTTGCAAACATGAAACAGAAACCGTGTCCTCTGATAATTTTGGTTAAGAATTTTGTGTCAATTTTCACAAAATGGCGCGCGGTCCAAACCTGCGCAGTGAACCGGCCCGGTGGACCAGAGACACGGACAACTGAGTTAGTGCGGCGCCGCCTAATTATTTCTGCTATGTTAAAACGTCGGCCTCTTGATCTTCTTAATCCGGTCCACTAGACGCATTTCGATATCCAAAAACGTCAAATATATATCCACTGGCAGCATTATTCCGGCGGGAAGGGAGAACATTTGAAAAGACTGAGCTGGGAAAAAAAACCCTCCTGACAAAATGGCGATGCTCTAGCTTGTTGCCATGGCAACTGTCAATCAAAAAATGAAGTCCCCGGATGTACCAATGACGAATAAAATCTAACTGGCTAGAGTTACAGGACACACATAAGTCTTGTGGTCTCCCTGTGTGTCTTGTTAACCGTGTCTGGCCTGTTGCTACCATCCAGAAGAGATGTTTATTGACAGACTGAGTTTATTTTTACAAAATGAAACTACCGTAGCCTTTTAAGATTGTAGCCTTATTATGCCTTACTTCTCTCACACTTAGTCAGTCTGTGTTCTCCTATTTTATTTCTGTAGCGTTGTTGATTTAGAAAAATAACATAGCTCCATTATTGATAATATGGAGCTGTGTTAATAATATTAATTATGTATAGTAACATGTATTGTTATATATCGTTTTTTTTTGTAAAATAGCTATATTTCCTCTTGTACTTTACAGTCTTTTTAAAATAAAATTCCCTCTTTGTGTATCCACAGACTGTCACTCTGCTGAACTGCAGTGGAACAAAAGTAACAAAACAGGGAATTTTTTACTAAAAAAGCACAATAACTTTGGAAGGTATCCACTATGCGTATGTACATCTGAAGCCTTTGAAAAACCTCAGATAATCTTTGGAATATATTTTTGCAAAAAATGTGCTAAAAGCACAGAATAACCGTTAAAGGTTAAACATTTAACCTCTTGGCTATCCCTACAATTACAAAAAAATATGTCAGTGCAGCAGAATAAATAAGGATGCTTTAATTATAATGAGTGAAAATTAATTTTATTAGGGTAGCTTCTCTGCTGCAGGCCTACATTTCTCTCAAATTGATAGCTATTGATCACAAGCATTCTTCACATAAACTTTGTTGCTTCCCCAAAACACATGTTATTACATCTGAGACTGCCACTACTGCACAGCAATTATTTCCATGTATCCTCCAGGCACTAGAGATATCTGTGATCTGAGTGAAATTGTCAACTTATGACATCTGCTGGCTGTGTGCAAACCCCATAGGGTTTTTTGTGTAGCTACCATTCGCACCAAAGGGGGCAACATGATGACTTTCCATCCCCACAGCAAATGGGGACACTGACAGACAGATAAAGGAATAGACATAGCTGCTTTCCACGCTTTAATAACATTTTAAGACTGTATTTATTTACTCAAGAAGTGGAGTTGTCAAATGTAGTTTTGGTTTTATTCCTATGTGCTATTGTTTGAAAGAGCTGTCCACCCTGATTTATTTGTAATCAAAGGATGTATGTTGCTTTATTGATGACTTTATAGGTTTCTAAGATATAATATAAAGAAAATATAATATAAAAAAACGCTGTCTTACCAAAAGTTTTGTCCAGCATTTTGGAACAATTAAAAGACTTGTGCACGAGGATTTGAGGGGCCGTCCTGGTTCATAGAGTGCAAGCATGTCAGACAAATAGGCCGATGCAAAACCATGAAGTGGATTAAAGACAAGTTAAATAATTCTAGAATCAATACGAAAACTGACAAGCAACCATTGTGAGGACTTTAAAAATAGGTGTATTGTGTTCTCTCCTTCTGGTCCTATCAGTACTCAAGCAGCAGAGTTCAGAATCAATTCTAACTGATTTGTGACTTTTTTTGTATAGACCAGATAGGACAGCATTGGCCTGCTCGATATTAAAGCTTGCATTAGGTTCTCTGCACCTATAGAAATACCGATACAAGGCCCAAAGTTTAGGTCTGAGTTGAAGACGACACAAAGGTTTCTTGCTGTTGGCTTCAGGTAAGAGAATTGGATTTTGTGGCCAGTATCTCCCTCTTATACTCAGAGCTTTAACAATGTTCAATGTCCGTCTACTTCTTCTCACCTGCCAGAAAAAAAAAGATTAGCTATAGCTTGGTAGCCTCCAACAGTTATGGAGAATTTATGTAAATAACATACATCCATACATTCTCTGAACAAAAAAAACGTAGTGTGTTGACAGCGCTCTTTGGGCAAGTGGTTGGGTACACCCTGGATAGGTTGCCAGTCTATCACAAGGCAATGTGAGAAACACACTCACACTTATCAACAATTCACTTATCCTGCCTATGAGGATACTCTTGCTGTCACAGGATAACATGAAACATCGCACAGAAAGGCCCATCCTGTAAAACATTAGCCTTGTTTTTGTTGGGCACCAGTGTTAATGACTAACGACTGTCTAGTCCAGAGTTTCCCCACTGAAGAGGACAACACAGATGTGAATGACATTTACTCTGTGGCACAATCTAGACTGCGATGGAACTCTCAAGGTTTACTGTATATGTACCTCTACACATTAATAATATTTAATCCTAATCAAAATCAAAATTTCTAGAATCTATTCATTGTTTGTGGACAGATTTTTAAAAAAGATGTTGATTTTATTAAATATTTACTTTAGAAAACCATGTGCTTAGTTAACATTTAACATTTAACCATTAGCCTTGGTATAAACCTATGCCTGAATATTTATCTGACTTTTTAGTAAATGTATTTGGGGTGGGGGCCCATACCTGCATTGGAGAAATATCTCACTGCTTATGTAAAAAGAAGGCACAAATAAAACACACCCATCCTTCCTTCTGTTTACTACCGTTGGACCAAACAACAAGCAGCACACCCCACTAAGCCTAGTTTTGAACGTTTGCAGGTCTATTATGAAGGTATATTTGTGTTTTTATTACGCAAACAAAAAAAATGTTTTAAAAGCAAATTTCTCGCACTGCAATCAAAAATCAAGTTTGTAAGTGAAAATATATAAACTGAGAATAATTTATTTGTTAGTTTTGCTTATGAAACTACAATTTTTGGTTAAAAAGATAAAATCTTTGGTTAAAAAAATAAAATCTTTGGTTAAAAACAAAACAATCTTTGGTTGAAAAAAAAGCTTTTGGTTTTGAAACCAAAAGCTTTGGTTTTGAAACCAAAAGCTGAGTTGGGTGTAGTGGGCGGGGCATACGCTGCTGAATGTACCAGGAGTTTCTATTGGTCGGTTTGACTTGTCTCTCAGTATCTGTATTATCTAAACACAGACGGGAGGTTACGGTGACGTGGAGGTAAGTTGACTGCTCTGTTTTGTCAAAATTATTTTAAATATAGCAGCACTTCACTTTGTTCTCATGTTGTTAGTGTCGTGGAGTCTCTTTTTAAGAACGACATGGAGGGCTGCTGTGTTGACATTTAGCCCCACTGTTTAGATGATGCAGATACCGAGAGACAAGTCAAACTGACCAATAGAAACTCCTGGTACATTCAGCAGCGTATGCCCCGCCCACTACACCCAACTCAGCTTTTCGTTTTGAAACCAAAGCTTTTCGTTTTGAAACCAAAGCTTTTTTTTTCAACCAAAGATTGTTTTGTTTTTAACCAAAGATTTTATTTTTTTAACCAAAGATTTTATTTTTTTAACCAAAAATTCTAGTTCCATAAGCAAAACTAACAAATAAATTATTCTCAGTTTATATATTTTCACTTACAAACTTGATTTTTGATTGCAGTGCGAGAAATTTGCTTTTAAATCTTTTTTTTTCGTTTGCGTAATAAAGACACAAATATACCTTCATAGTCTATTAGAAGTGTCCTAACTCATGGTGGAACAATTTGATTTTTAGTGTCTTACATACAATAAGTATTGTTTCCATTGTCTTTCCAGGACTATATTTCAAAATACAGCAGGTTCTTTATATCCCCAACAGTGTTGTAACACAGGTTGAGATGCCACTAATAATGTGTTGGTGTTTACCTGACCTTTTCCCCACATTAGTTAGTAGCAGTCATCAAGTTAATCACACCTGCTTCTTGGCCAAGACATTAGCTGAAGGAATACTTCATCCCAGATCTCTCTATTAATTCAACTTTTTTAGTAAGGAATTTTTAACAGAAATTGTTACTTGCAGCCACAACAGCCGTCTGCATCACTTGCAACAACACACAGACCCCAGCAGTCACCGCAGAGACCCTAATGCACATAAAGCCACAGTAAACAATGTTTTGCAAGATGCATACATGACCACTGTCAAACCACAAGCTTACAGTTTACCCCTGTTTCTGCCATCCTGGGAATTTGGAAAGAAACAGAGGGTTTATGACATTTCCCTACATCTGTGTAAAATAGGGCGATTAGGATGTCAGAGAATCAACAAATGATGAAAATGCTTTTGTAATTAAAATAATGGTAAAGATTTCACCAATGACGTGAACGGGTGATTCAGACACATTTGCTATGTCAGCACATGGTGTAAAGTACAGATGTAGGTCTAAAGTCTAGAACATAATGTGTGCATTGTTTTTATATGTATGTACGAGTGATTCGTACATGGAGAGAAGGATAGACTTTCCAGTTTGTGACAGCATTACAAATATGGGTTTAGTGACGTTATTGTCCGTTGCTTATGTCAGTTAGTATTGTACTCGTTTGGCTGCTGGTCCCTGTTGGTTTTCACTAAATTAGTCTATATTAGACGATATTATTCAATCCAAGACTACGTTAAACCTAAGACTGCTGTTAACCTTGTCTGAGTAAGATGATTGTTGTTCAACAAATACTGTATGCATTGATTTGCTACATATTTTCAGACCATCGCATTGCATGTTCCTCCAGTTCCATCTGAAGTCTTTAGGGCACAAATTCTCTTTGTCACCTTTCTGTTTTGTTTGACTGTCAGAGGACTGAAGGCCACAGAGGTCAGTGTAGTTTTATGTTTTGTTGTAACATGATCACAATATAATTATCCATGAACTACTGTTGTCAATGTGAAGGAATTATCTCAAAATGTAGACGCACATTTGAACATACAACCAGCACGTCTAGATTCTCCTGTGGTGATCTGCTGTAATCAAGAATCACAAGTGACCCAAATAGTATCTTAAAAGCTCGAACAAATGCTTCAAATGTGTGAAATCATTTAAAGTTTCCTTTCTATTTCTATGAAGGAGACAGTAGAGAAAAGTGTCACCATGAACCCTCTCAACCTTTAGTATAAATGCCCAGAGAGAAATGAATCAATTCATTAAATATATTCATATATTTAATGAATATATTGGATCTTCTTTATGTTCTCTGTCTTTCTGTAAAGGTGTTCATGTTCAACTTGGTTCTCATCTACCTGTGAACCAACATACGTATGAGTTTGTCATACATTGTTATTCTATTAGGCACTGGACTTGGTATTTCTTATCATACAGTTACTCTTGTTTTTATTCTCATGTTGTTGTAATTTACGTTTCTATTTATATTTGACTTATCTATCCTATTTCATCTTAGCTCATGTTCTCAGACTTCAGCTGTATGAACGAGGTTTTTATTCCCAGAAGGAAACACATCACACAGATATGTTTCCTTGACTCCAACACTGGTTGTTACAGTCATTTCTTTGAGCACAGGGTGGCAGTAGAAGCTTATTTTGTTTCGTATTATGCAGACCATCTGGTGATGACGTCCATGCTTACATTTCTTAGTATGCGCTTTATTTGGAGATTGTGCATCAGCTACTATCTGGCTGAGTAGAAGCTGGTTAAAGGTAATGACTAATCATATGCAGAGCTATCAAGGCAACAGTCAAGGGACTGAACCCACTGCCGACATTGGCCTTTAAATTACCTTAAAATAAGATAATCTTTTATTAGCCTTTCATGTGATTACTAAACAATTAATGTGTTTATAGACTGTATGAAAAAGTACATCTATATCTCCAGCTGAAGTAGTTTTAATCAAAGAAGGGTGTCTTTGTCCTTGTTGGCCTTCATGTCTCAAATCAGTCAGATACTCAGATTTAACATACCTTTTCTCTTTAGGAGTGTCCTTATAAGTCTGTTCTGCTCCCGTCAGTGAATTTAATGGTTTCCAAGGATGTTGTCCACTTTGACATACTGTTAAAGCCCCTGCAAAGACACCACTACTGATTCCAAAGATATTGTTTTGCCATTCTAAGTTAATGGCAGTGAAGGAAAGAGTATTGAGATTCTTTATTTAGTGGTAATATCATATTGTAAAAACACTGCATTCAACATGTTTACTTCAGTAAAATATTAGCAAAACATACTTAAGTAAAAGTATTAAATAAAAAGCATGATATAAAGTACAATATTTCCCTCAGAATTGTGGCGGAGTAGAGGGATATAGCAGCACAACATGGAAAGTAAAGTACAAGTACCTTAAAGTGTGTAAAGTAAATGTACTTTCCTCAAATGTTTGGTGGTGAAAGGGTTTTGAATCTGATATGGACACAATTCACATTTCATACCTATCCGTCCATCTATTTGTTTTCCAGTTGTTTGTGGTCACACTGGCAACAGGATCAAGGCCATTTTGGTTTCTATTTCCTGAAACCTCACCTCCTTGAAATGAGGTTTAACCTGATATCGTTGACAAAACAAATGATGTTGCAGTAACAATGCAAAATCCCATATCAGTTTTGGTAATTCATTTTGGATCAAATCCAAAATCCTGATCAGTTTTGTGCCGAGATTATAATTGGACAAAAATATTTCATTGTTGAAACATAACAATTTAACATATTTACAATAGTTTCTACCACAAATGAATTTGAACACAGCATGGCACGTTCTCTTTGTTTGATATTTCTGTACCTCTGATGCAGAAACATTTTCATCACATTCCAAGATTGATTCAAACACATTTCCTCCTGCAGAATACATTACTTATATATATATATATATATATATATATATATATATATACTGAAATGACATTCGTTTCCACTCTGTTATAGTCTATTTTCTACAATATTCATAGTCTTGTAAAACTACAGTCATCAGTCATCATACAGTCATTTGACAGCAAAGCTTTTTCTTCCCAGAAGTGAAAAACATTTGGAAACCGTGTTGCTCTTTATTTCAAAAGATGAAAAATGTGAAAATTGTAACAACATAATTAATATTCAGTGGACATAACTTTTCCAAATGTACACTTTATTTTAAACAAAAGTACAAAAACAAACATCGGGTATTTACAATACTTGCATGGCAATGTTCACTTTCTTTGGTCATTCTTCCAATTTGATGGTTTTACAAACAGCAGCTTGGAGGTCTGAGATTATCACATGCTGAATCTAGTATTCAACCAGACGCTGAGCAGCCGACTGATGACTTGTAACTTAATTACACGTTTGTAAAGCCTGCAAGCAATTTACCAAGTGTTTCAATCAAAGTTATGAATTCTACGGATATTATTGAATTTGCCTACCTGGACATTTTTTTACAATATAAATAGCAAAAAGAAAATTAAATTCACACACTTCACAATTACATCCTGTTCTTGATACATTGTCAAATTTAGTAAATGCTCTTAAAAAGGACCAAATTTGTGACATGTGCAGCTGCGCGTATTCCATCGTATTCTACACAAATCTGACATGAAAACATGAAACCTAGTGCACATCACAAACTGAAGCAATTACAGGTAGATTTTCAAAAGAAGGCTAATTTATCATGACGGCTACTTTGAGATAAACGCATTGTCCTCTCTGTGTGCTCCGTCACAGAATTATGCCATAGCTACACAATAAACAATCATACCTCAAACACTGATGAAGAACTATTTGAGAAGTCACTCACAAGCCTTGAAACTTTCTTTCACTGCTCCAGGCTCAATGAGTTCTCCTTGCGTGAAAACAAACACTGGCTTTATGTAAAACAATCTGTACAGCCAAATTAAAGCCAATAGTGTGAGCTGAGTTACCCGAAACTTTCTCTCAATAATCTACCTGCCTGTGTTACACAGTGGTAATGTTGAATGTACAGTACATTTGAAAAAAAGAAACAGGCAAAATGAACTGAGTTTCTGTTGTTTTCTGTCAAAGAACACAAAAAAAAAAAAATCATGTAATGCCAAAGAACTCTGTGCTACATCGCCTACTTCCTGCAATGTAAATCATATCACCTTCTATAACTAATGCAGAGTATAACCCCAATAACCCATAGCCCTTTCAGGAATTTCATCTCTATTTCAACATTTTTTTTTACGCCTAAATGAACAAACTGAAACAAATGCACAAATAAACAGATTTAGTACACTGATGTTGAAGGCAGAGGTTGTTTTGACTGTGATGACGTGAAGCTAAAAAGCGATGGCGGTGATGTCCCCTCGGCCCCTTGCTATGTCTCCGAGGGCCAAAGAGTCAGACTAATGCAGGCCAACACATCCTTACATCAAAGGCAACTGGTCTAGTAGTAATTCTACTTGCATCAACTAACAAAACCAAAAAGATCTGCATTTTCTCAGTTTCCCAAATTCCATTCTAACAAATAAGTCCTAATAGTAGACAAGTTTACACGTGTATCAGTAGTGCAGACAAGTTATGTATATCACATACGGTATCCATTCTTTGTTTTGTGTTTTTTAGGAATGGAGGGGTGATGGTTTGAGGGGGGGGGGGTGTTTGGATATGCTTTTTAGTCAAATTTTCCCTGAAACCAAATCCAAAGCGTCTTCGTCCCAATGTACACTTGTTTTTTTTTCCCCAAAGACAAAGGTGAAGAGAAATGTGCAAAAGTTCCACGTTCCCACTGTAAAGAAGAGAATGAAATTAATGTTGTTTAAAAAGAGAATGACTTTGCTCATCTTTATTTCTCAGGCATACGATGGAAATGTTTTCTACCTTTCACATTTCCAAAGCAGGGCTGCTGTTTCTTTACACCTCAGCTTTTTGGCTGTTCTCCTCCACTTTCTCCTCCAGTTTTTTCTCCTCCTCAGAGGACCCGTCCTCATTTTCACCGGTCTTCCAGCTTCCTTGCCTGCTTAGAATGAAACATTGTTACCCAACATGCTGATATTTCTTCCCTCTACAGTCATTTGTATGAAAAACAAACTGTATATGGTAGGACGGTATGTGGACTAGACATGTGCTACATAATATCTAATATTCACTGTTCATTTGCACTTGATGGGAACTTGGTGGTGACTTGGTATACTCAAGAGGAAAACTACTATCTGTATATTTCACAAAAATATCTGTATATGGATTTGCATATTTGTTTTCTGCTGTAATACTGTACGTATCAGTTTCGATGCCAAAATATACAAAAAAAGTCGAACAATATTTAAACCTTGTACCTATATCACATAGTAATGCACGTCTAACAAATGTCATAGTTAAACAACTGTATTAGGATTTGTAGAAAGGTCAGTGTTCACTTCTTACTTGGATTTCTTCATGTAGACCCAGTATGCCAGGCCAATAACCACCGTGGCGAGGAGGAGACCGACCACAACTCCAACCACCACCTTGGTTTGGTCGTTATCATCCGATTGGTCTGTAAGACAAAACAGAAACATGAGAGACCTGGGTGACACATTTCAGTATGACACCCCAGTCTCACTGCATACTAATACAGGGAAGCAAAAAAAGTCATGATGTGCAATAAATGCATTGATGAATGGACACATCCGCACTGTACATGGTTATGACTCATTGAGTTAAATGTTAATGACAGATATTCATTAACCAACGGGGTTATGGACAATGTTGACATTTTGTCAGGATGCTGGTAGCTCCACTCCTCTTAGTCCTTCATATCTGTGTTTTATTAACGACAACACACTGTCCAAAGATTGGTTTTTCCAGTTGAAGAGTCCAAGGTGATGTTAAAGGTAAATATTGAATCAAGAGCCTTCCTTCAGTGAGCAACATTTGATTCCCCCAAAGACTTCACCCCATCCCCCATCCCACCCATTCTTACAAGCAAGAAGACCGCTACAACTTACCTTGTTTATCCATTCTCACCTCCTCAATTACTGAAATCAGATATAAAATAAAATTAACTTCCAACAAAAAAGAAAAAAATCAAGCGTTGACGTCCAGAAAAAAATACCACTCTAACTCTATTCTACTTCTGCATGCAAGAAGTTCAACAGAGGGAACAGATTAAATCCAGCATCCCAACACACACACCACTGAGTGAAGAGGGGGGGGGGGGGAGAGAAAAAGATGAAATGCTGTCCCAAACGCGCAGGAATGAGTAAGCAAGGGAGAGCAACGGATGATGTTAACACTGTCTACAAAGTGCTAAGAGCATGCGATGATGACATTTGGACACTGGTGAGATGTTAGAAGTTAAATCATCAAAAGGCAAACAACTACTTATGTCATGAAACAGAAATCTGTTCACACTTTAAAAGAGGCGAAAATAATTGTATTAAATGATTAAAGTAAACTGATTGGGTTGATTATACAAAGCAGTTCTTGTATCATAAAGGTTTGTGTCAGCCCAAAATTCTGCGATTTCTTTATCCTTAATCCTTAAAGATGTGTGTTTACTCTCAAGCACATACCTGCTGAATTGGGGTAGTTTTATTTATTATTTAAGTCGACATGCAGACAGAAAGAGTTAGTGAGCAGAGTAGAAGAAAACATCGACAAAGGCAGGTTAAGAGTTAGTCTTTAAAAACACGAAGCGGAGAGAGACGAGAGGACCGTACTGCCACTTTGTACTTACGGGATGACACATTTATAGTCCTACTGTCCGCGCCAAACTCATTGGACACCGAACAAGACACGGTAAGATTTGCAGCAGGCACAACTGTGATCTTGTGTGTTATCTTTCCGTTGACGAAGGGACTCTCATCAAGCTGAACGATGGGAGAAAAAAGCACAAATGTTAGTATTTACATATCTAACTTTATTGTTTCTGATCCTGCCACACACGTAAGAAGTGTATGTTTCGTACCACTAGGGGGCAGCATTGGATTGATATGAGCCTTTCCACGACAAAGACGCAGCGCGTGCCTCTGGGATATAGACACTTAAGTCCCACAGGAAAACCCCAGACACAAAGACGAACTGCCAACACCCTTTTCTATGTCCTCTTCATATACAAGAGGACGTGGCAATTTTGTAAATACCCATTACCGTGCCTGTATTCAAGCCTTACATTATCGTCTCTGTGAATAGGCTTTAAAGGACGGGATGAGAGGATTTAAAATAAACTTGGACTGAAATGTAGAAATGTGTGTTATCTCCATAAATTCATTATCCTTAAGTGAAAGAGTGCTGTGCACCTTTGGAGTTGATTAATTATGACACACACGTTTTGGTTTTGAGGATAGAAACTGAGTGAAAGGGCTGAATAGAATTGGTACCATCCCACACCCCCTCAGGTTAACGTGAAACTCAAACTGCTTCAATGAGTGGTTCTGCTATCAGCGTGCACACAGGTACACCACGGAACCAAAAGAGGGGGAAAAAGGGTCCATTTAAAAAAAAAGAAAAATTGTCTTTATGACTGGTGCAAAACACTGTGTTTGAGCCTCAGAGAAAATGAAGAAATGTACTCTTTCGAACCACTGAGCACAACCGCCTAGAAATGTTTGGACTAGATAAGTGTGGTAGCTGGGGAAAACACTAACAGTGCAAACGGCTATGCACATAACAGGGAGTATTCACTTGATGGCAAAAGCAAACTGTCTCAGGAACAAGACACTGGCAAACCTCGGGCTTTTTAGCTTCCTCACAATGGACGCAGACTTAAACAGATGGGTTTGTTTTGAGGGAAAAAAGAAACGCCATCTCACTTTAACAACCACACGGGCATCTCAGTAGTTTGTCAAGCATCACCTGCTGCACATAGACATCATCTACAATACGCCGTTGATACTTTACTGATAACATTTTGATGCTGTTGCCTAAAGATCTCATTGCAGACACTGTACTGCAGGACAAACAAGTTGCCATCTTACACCGGAAGACCAGTGTCAGAAAATGGATTTATATGACAACCAGTATTAAACAGTAAAGGGGGGACTGAGAGAAACATTCAAAGCATTCTGAATGAAAACTTTGTTTCAAATGTGATTCTAGGTGGTCAGGAGGACCCGAGGAACAACTGCTGGTATCCATCCTGTCTAATCAATAAACCGTTAAATCCAAATGTGGCGGAACACACAAGTTAACGAGCACACAAGGGAGTCGCTTTCTCCATAATCTAGGATTGAGAAATTGGTTTGTTTTGGTTGCATAAATTCTGAGCTTCAGTTATTGAAGTTATGCTTAGGCCAATTTAGGACATTTTACAAGTTTTGCAATAGCTGATTCTAATGAAGCAATACAGATTTCATTCCAGTTTAAAAGTTATAATCCTTGAGATTTTAATGAAAACAAACCCTTTTTCTATGTTATTTAATGTCAGCATTTTTTTTCAGCAATAGCCCTCCAATGTATTAATATTCATTAATATTTTTAGAGTGGAAGAGTACACCTAACATAGACTTACATTCACAGCTCCCCAATAAGTTAACATCCTATAACTGGTCAAAATACCACGTGCCTACAGTTTACTCTTTGTTTCAACGAGTTTGTGAGTTGCATCCCCCACTAAAACTCTGAGTGATCGCTCTGGCATAGACATAAAAAAATGTTCCTCGAGTACCAGCGAGTACATTAAATGGTTCACATTCAACCTTACACCAAATCTAATTCTGACCGTGTCTATTCATCTAGAAAGTCCTTCGTTTAACTGTTTTGGGAATCTCACAGAATCTTGCGAGGCACGGACGACGTCTGATACCTTCAACCATTAAAAAACCCGAGTGTGCATACCAAGGTGCCGTTGATGCTCCAGGAAACAGCTGGCTTTGGAGATCCTTCAACCTCACAGATCAGGACTTTGTGTGCGCCGTCTTCACCGCGTTTTTTAGACAGCTGTCTGATAACTGGAACACCTGCAACAGGACGTAACTCTTCAGATACATCTGAATGAGTGCACGTGTGGCGTGAATGGTAGCATTTCATTCATGCACGCACACGAAATGACGGAAGAAAGTCTTACTTAATTCCTACTGAAAAGAGTAGTTTGACATTTTGAAAAAAAAAAAAACACTTCCTCTCGTTCTTACAGAGAGGCAGACGAGAAGATTGATACCATTCATGTATTTCCTTACAGATGTCGCAACAGCCAGCAGACAGTTAGCTTAGCTGAGCATAAAGACTGGAAAACCTTGAAACTAGCCCGGCTCTGTCCAAAGGTAACAAAAGGTGCCTATTAGCATCTCTACAGCTCACTAATTACACATTTTTTAACATAACTTGTTTTCTGTTCCCTCGTGTTTCCCGTATCTAAGCTGAACTAATCTGACCTGCCGCTGGTTGTAGCTTGTACAGCAACTAAGCAGAAATCTCTGAGTTTCCTTTAAGCCCTTACCTTCGACAACCAGCTCAAGAAAATCTTTTTGGCTGAGGAGCCCCATGGTCACCTCACACTCATAGCGGCCGGAGTCAGCGTAAGTCAGCTTGGTGAACTCGGGCTCTTTGTCCAGTTTAACATTGTCCTGAAATAAATGAAATGGATACCAGCACGGTCAACAACAACCAGAAATGTTTCTTCGCTGATTCAGACTTTGTTGTATAAACCATTGCTTTTACCTTTGTCCAGGTGACCTTGGAGTCTCCAGAGGCATTAATCTGGAGAGTTAGATCCAAAGCCTGACCGGCCTTCTCGACGATGTTTCCAGAGGGGCTTAGATTGATGTCTAGGTCTAACAAGAGAGGAGAGGATGGTCAGGAGATTGTTCAGAGGCATGACAAGGGTCGAAGCATTCCTGTTGTTAACCACAAAACCCTGCACTTGGCTCAGGGCCCATGAGCACTTGGCTCATGCAGCTTATTAGAGGCGGAGCGGTTAAAACAACAGCTCTCTTCATAAAGCACAGTAAGACGGGTAGGCTGGCAAGGAAGGACATCAGGATGTTCTTTTCATTAGCAAATTAGCTTTTATAGGAACAAAAAAGATTAAAGGTAGAAAAGGAAATTACGCTGACAATTACTCTGGCGTGTGGCAAAATTGTAGTAATTTCTACTTTTAAAATAAACACAACATGTTGTGGTCTCTTACAGCTGACTGTGATGTCCTTTGATGCTTCCATTGTTGGGTCGTCCACAAGAGAGCATTTGTATTCACCGGTGGAGGCACGGGACACATTCGTGATGGTGTAAGTGTCTGCGTTTTCCACTTTCACCAACTCTCCCTTCAAAGACATACAATCAAACAACGGTGGGTATTTGGTTTTCAATGACTTATTGAAGAGAGACAACACAATACATGCAATGAGCATGAATGGAAGACATTTGTGAGCGTCTCGATGAGATATTGATGAGCATGTGTACCTTAAGGTGGAAGTTAAAGGCTGTAGGAGCCGGGTTACCATCTGCCAGACACTTCAGAGTCACGTTGCCTCCTTCGACAAGAGGCTCCTGAGCAGTTACCTGAAGGACGATGTTCTCTGTGGAGTCTGTGCAGAGGATAGGAGACGGAGAGTCAGAGAGGTGAAGTATGTGAGGGTGGAGGGCGCGTTAAGTAAGGCGCGTGGCCCCAACAGCCGACCGCGGGGACTGCAGAGATCGGCTGTGTCAGCACGCTACAGAGAGCGCTCAGCATTTGTTATGACCAACGTAAAAATGCAGCTGAAAAGACGGTTGAATTGTGGTCATATTCTAAGGCATTAGATCAAACAATCAATGTTTCTGCTCCATCTGATACAAACTCTTCACATTTCTTATAAGAAAGTGGCACAGATAGGTTTTACTTTAAAAGGCCAGGTTGAGCAGATAACGTCAATATTTAATGCTGCGTTCGGTATAAATCCCACTACAGAGCTACAGAATCCACAGCTCATTTTTCAACTGTCACTATTAAAAGGTGCTGCTGCTGTTGTCTTTCTTGGCTGGAAGCAAAAGAATGACATAAAACACTGTGAATATATCCTGGAAGAGGCAGTCTGTCTCCACTGGCTACAGCTGGGCTTCATAAAAGAGATTTCCTTAGTCTTTGTTGAGAGCTTGTGGGTCAGGAATGTAGTCCAGTCCTGAAGAGACACTGTGAGTGACGATGAAGTGATACCTTTGACTGTATTTTTAAATTCACATCCATGTCATACTAAGTAATGTTTGCAAGCAGTTAACTTGCCAAAAATATAGAAAAATCACATCGCAGTATATAGAAAATTTACCTCTTAAATAATTGAGGATTTGAACTGAAAACAGTGTTTTGCTTGTAAATATGCAAAAGTAGAGATGTTAATATGTGGGGGGGGGGGGGGTCATGGAGATCAACCTGGTATAAAATGATTGTGAGTGATTTCCTACAAGTGGAGAAACCTCCTGCTGCACTGTTGTTTTCCTAACCTTTCAACAGCAAGACTGGAATTCGGTCAGACAGAAACCACCTGCCTGTCAATTGTTTTTCTGTTTTTAAAAATAGGAAATATTTATAAAAATTATCGTCTGCGTCTGGATCTCGACCAAAATACCCAAGCCGATTTACAATTGCTAACATACTGCATATTCACTTTCTTGCAGAGAGTTTGAGGAGAGGATCGATGCCACTCTCATATAGGTCTGTTCAATATGAAGCTACTGCAGGAGACGGTCATCTTAACTCGGCATAAAGACTGGAAACAGGGAAATATCCAGCCTGGCTCTGTGCAAGGGTAAACAATCCTTCTACCAGCACCTCTAAAGCTAATTAACACGTGGTATGTCATTTGTTTTATTTGTACAAACATTTTTTTTTTTTACCTATGAACCTTGCCAGGCTTTTTCCCTGTCTCCAGTCTTTATCCTCAGCTAAATGAACCAGCTGCTGGCTGTAGCTTCATGTTTACAGTGCTGCCATGAGAGCGGTATCGATCGTCTCATCCAACTCTCGACAAGAAAAGTACTCAAAATGTTGAACTAATCCTTTAAGAAATCCTGGAAAATGTGTGGATCCTGATCTGTAAAAACAAATAATAACCCAATGCACCTTGTCACATGATGTAACTTTAGATTAAACATTACTTTAAGTCTGTGAGCTGGTTTTTGAAAACAATACAATTCAATAAATATATGTCCTTTGGAGAGGTAAATAAAAAAACGGACAAAAATATCATCAACTAGCATTATTTTAGTCTTTCATTTTGGGCAGAAGTTAGTCTGACAACAGCTCGTCTGCAGACCGAAGCGGGTGTGCAGTGAAGGTTGTTAGCGGGGTTAGAGGACTCACAGGTGACAGTGAAGGTTGCTGGAGAGGACACCAGCTCTGTGCCCACAGTGGGCTGAGTGCTGCAGGTGAACTCAGCATCTGTGTCTTCCTTCTCGGCCGAGAACTCCAGTGTGGAAGAAGTAGTTGAAAGGCCAGTAACGGGGTCCACCAGCACTGAAGCTTGGATAGAAATCCCTAGACAGGAAACAAACAACTCTGTTTGAAAACTCTGAAAAGTAGAGAATGGTGTCCGGACCAAAACACTGCATATCTCACAGTCAGCGAGTTCAATTCATATCACTGAAGGATGATTTGCTGTCCCAGTCACAGAGAATAAATACATCTGTGTGTGTAACATTTAAAAATGTCAGCCCTCCAAAGAGCTGATTTGTTGGTATTTATAATCATCCAACCGAATGAAGAAAACACACCTTTCCCATCAGCCACCAGAGGTGTGCTGTTCTTGAGCCATGTGATATTTGCAGCTGGATTGGAGTCTTTTGCAACACATGTCCCAAGCTGTGGAACAAAAAACAAAAACAACACAACTTGAGAAAAATAGCAAAAAACTACGCTTGGAAACAGAAATATTGAAGAAGAAACACATTTTATGAATTTAGAATAAATCTGCATCGTTTTAAATGACCAAACATCTGTGCAAATTGGCATTTTCAGAGTCTTTCCGACCATGAAATGCCCTAAGCACTTCTAAAGCCCCTCAGATCCTTTGGGTATTTTAATTGCAGTAGAGGAGACTCTGCTCTTTAGTAATTCATGAGAATCACTTCAAAGAACTCATTACTGTAGTAACACGGTCTCTGCAATGCCTCAAGTTACCTTAGCTCAAGTGAGGGATTTCCCTTGATGGTTTACTGTGTAAAATAATGTAGATATAAGCAATGTTTATCATAAAAAACCCACCTTAGTAAGTTTGCCAATCTCGAGCTCGTCCGCTTTGTCAGAAATCTCCAGGCCTGCCGGCGTCTCTACAATACATTAAAAAATGTCTTAATTAATGAACAGGGTGTTAGTGTGGCTGATTTGCGTGCTGCACGTCAGTCATTACAGCACTTTAACTGAAGTAATCCAAGTTATTTCAGACGCATGCCAGCTTGCACTCACTGTAGATCACCACGTTGACTGGATATTCTGCGATGTCTGCAACCACCACCATGCAGGTGAAAGTGCGCTGGTCAGTCAGCTTGGCTGCAGAAAGCAGCAGGCTGGAGTTTGCGCCCATGCTGACGCGACCCTTGTATTCATCAGTGGCGCTGATTGAGACATCCTGGTCTTTCTGCTTGACCAGCAGGTCTCCCGAAAGTCCCGCTCCTTTGTCCTAGAGAGCAGAGCAGAGTGCACTTGATACATGTCTGTCACACATGGCATTGACTCCCAGTTCCAATAAGAAGCGCACAGCGTTTTTGTTCCACTCTGTTCATACAGTGTCATGCGGAGGGACAGATGGGCGGCCTAATGGACACTGGCACTCAGACTGGGCATGGTTCAGACGTGATAAGTGGGTGTCAGACGGAGATCACCATGTTGAATCTATTGACCTTCAGTGTGACTTACATATTTCCATTTAGTTATCATGATGTCTTCTGCTTTCATGGCTCCGATGTTGCAGGGGATCTCGAATGTCTCCCCATACAGGCCGATAACAGTCTCCAAACCGCTGACTGCGAAAGAGAAAAAAAGAGAAACTTTCAATTACTTCCTCAGAGGGGCCGCTCTGGTCAGCTCCAACACAGCGTGATATTCTTCGAGGGAAAATTGAAATCCGTTATTATTCTGAATGCTTAAGTCGTCCCTTCTTTCTGTACATATTTGACTGCCATTTATCAGGACCACTTAGTGTTCACTAAGAACAGCAGTTTCTATGGAGTTCTGATCATTTTACAGCCCCCGTGGTAAAAAAAAAAAAACCAACCTGAAAAACCTCGCCTGTCCTAAATTTCTTTAAAAACATTGCCATGGAGACCAAGTGCTTGAGAGGGGGGGATGGGAGGAGGGTGGCAGCAGAAGAGTCTCAATGGGCTGCGGTGAGGGGTTAGAGCCAGAGGGCTCCAGGGAAGAAGAGGCTGCCACGGCCCGACTGAAAATGAGCCGCTGCTCAGTTTTTGGTATTCAGATTCACATTTCAGTCCTCTCTGGGTTCAGGCTGAGTTAATGCAGGAGTGGGCGTGTGGAGACAAAAAAAATCTGACAGCTAAAAATCCAAAACAGCTCATCAGCTGCTCAGCAAAGTGTAAGAGCGCAAAGCAGCGGCCAAACCCTATTCCATTTGTTGAATCGGGGACAAATAATGTTCGTCGATTTTACAGGATAAGTGCAAAACAATGTGTGCATTCAACCCTGAAATTGTGCGATTGTATTCACGCACAACAAAACTGCTGCAAACTGTAATGTCCTTTCTGCACTGCAACTAAAGTTTTAGTCTCACGTTCCCTCCGAGCTCCACGGACATTTAAAGGTTTCCTCAGAAGTGGTGCAAAGACGGGGCGGCAAATTCATTTGCTGTGTGCGTGATACTCATTTGAATCCCGTTTGAATGAAAGTAAATACTTCTACTATGGTTACCATTGTCTACATCAGGGCGGGGTAACAACTGGGACCATTGAGGCGAAATGGCAGAGCGGCTTGTGATGTCAGGATGAGCACACATGTTCTGCTTCCTACTCCGTCTGTTTTGTTTTCCCACAAGTTAAACCCCCTCCTGTCAAGTGTCATTTTCACATCAAGACAATGAGACACGTTCCTAAATGGCTGGTACTCTTATAATGTTGTCACAACTCACAAAACAATATCAAACCGTTAGCCTCAACTAAACACAGTCTGCCGTCCTCCTGACACTGAACAACTTCCCACTCCCGACACATGTCAGTCATCTTTATGAGGTGTCGGCTCTGAAACAACATCGAGCCCGACGCTGAACTAACCAGAGCCAGTAACGCCTGTCAGGAAAGCCAATACAGCAAGAGGATGACAAACAACAGACAATTTAATAATGTGATTTTCTACGGAGCATGTCCTGCTGTATGTTCAGCTCTGATGCAGTTTCTTTTGAATTTGTTTCCTGTCAGTTTTGTTACTAATGCGACTGCCCTGCCCTGTGGCCACTAGTCTCATATTAAAGTGAGAGTTCCACATTTGGGAAATCTACTTATTTCTTTTGGGGAGAGTAAGATGAGAAGAACGATATCACTCGAGTGTCTGTTAGATTTGAAGCCGGATAGCTTAGCCTCGCTTAAAGACAGCGAGCCTGACTCTGTGCAAAGGTTACACAATTCACCAGCCAGCACCTCTAACGCTCCCTCATACATTGTGCTATATCCCATTTGTTTGATCTGTACAAAACATGTAAAACATCAAAAAAAAAAAAAGGGTTTTCAGGACCAGGCTGGTTGTTTCATTGTATCCAATATTCATGCTAAGCTAAGCTAGCAGTCTCCTGACAGTACTAAACATATATGAGTGTGGTATCGATCTTCTCATGCAACACTCGACTAAAAAAGCAAGACGGTGTCTGTCCAAAAATGTCTTTCCCCTTAATATCTACAATAGCTTAACCTATCACGGGCTGCTTCATGCACATTCATTCACAAGTAGAATGCCCCATTTTACAATCTTTGTATATTTTGTTCAAAACAGGAAAAGTGGATATAATCAAACAAAAGGACTGAACTAAATAACCGTTTTTAGTGTTTGCTAATTCACTATGACATCCATTTAGAGCTAGATTGATGGATGCAAAAACACGAGGAGTTACCCATACAGAGACCAGGAAACAAAAATACACAGAGAAGAGAACAACATGACTTTAAACATGCATTAGATAAAGCTGTGGTGATGACTGTAATCAGTTTTTTTAAAGCTTTATCTGTGAGCATCGAAGCAATGTAACACACAATAAAAACCTATTAGACACAGATCGTGCTGCACGTCACCCACATAGATACAATTCCTGCATTTAAATAAGGCTCAGCGACATTTAATAGTGACAGCAAGGGATGAAAACAAACCTCACCACATTTCAACTGCTGACAGTTTCACCAGGAATTCTTCATCAAACACAGGGATAAGCTGTCACTTGTCAACCGCAGCACAATTAAAACCATCTCCTGCATTGATTCCTCTTATTATCCATGATTTGCCACACCTACAGCCTGCTCCTTTCACATCATGAAGTGAATTCAAAGGATTACAAGCTTCTTTAGAATCAAGTCAAGATTTGATCGGCCTCAATAAGTCATTTTGCTTACATTGCATTCCGGTATTCACGAGTATGCCATAATGGCTCTTTACTTAATCATTTGATGAAATCTATGTAATTGTCTACGGACAGCAAATGTGCTGTAAATGTGTGCCTGCATTTCACAGAGTCTTAGTCACATCGAGATATTGGCAACTGGGTATGCATCAGTCCCAGCCACCTGAAATGGGTGATGCAGATTACTGGTGCAAACACAGTATGCTAATGTGGCCGTCCAACACTCCCTTGTTCCGTCTTTCTAATGTAAATCTAATGAAACTGACTCTCATGCTTGAATGTGCTTTAGCTACACGTGCAGGTTTGTAGTCGCGGCATAAAAGATTGCACACGCTGGGGCGGAAAATGGAGACTTTGTGAATCTATTAGGAGGTTGAGTTAATGAGCTCTCTGTGCAGGACATGGACACATGTTTTGCATATGTGTCAAATCCAATGATAACTCATATTTGGAGTTACTTTACAGTGCCAAAAATAATCTGTCAGTATAGATTATGTGTCACACCTGGGTACGTCGGTGCCAGAATACTCGAATGGTCGAGGAGCCGTCCAAACTGTTAGAAAGTAGCTGGCATCGGAGTCCACGCGTTTCCCCAGCGTTGAGCCCCAAACTTCTCAGGAAAGTCCTGCACAACCTGCTCTGCTGAATCTTACAATTGTTAAGTAACGAGAGCCAAATATATTCGGGTTACGTTGCAAGCACCGCAGGGCTGGAAAGGTTATCGCACTTCCTGTATAATAGACTCCTTACATTTCAAATTCAAATCGGCAGTTTTGAATATTTAAATAAAGCTGTGTTCAGCCTCTCTGAGAACTTCATAAGAGTCCGTATGAAGGAAAAGGCTCTATCGGTGCAGATTACACTCTTACACAATGAGAATAAATCGCACATGTTGAGTTACAGAAGACAAAGCTCCTGCTGCTTACTGAGATAAGGTAATCCTTCGCCACAAAAGTAGGTGAACAGTGTGACTTTACATTGACAAACACACATGCACGCACACTATGCATCGCTTCTACAAGTTGTCTATATGATGAGGGAGCAATGGATATAAACAGTCGGACCCTTGTGTTTTGTTGCGATTGGCTTTACTTCCAGATACTCTGCAAAATATTAATAGTAATCATAATTGTAATTTCTTTCCTTTTTTAAAAACTGTTAATGCTAATCACAGAGACAGATCACATGAAAACCCATTGTATTTAACCATGTTTTAAAGCTGGGCTTTCTGAAACTGCAATCTGACGTTTTTCTTTGCAGACTTCTGAAACAGGTTTAGATACAATTCTAATAAAACTATTAAAAGTATTGTAAAATCAAGCTTAACGATGTTATTTAAGATGAAGACGACTCTGGGTCTCCAATCAGCAGATGGGGGTTAAGCAACACTATATTCCGTCGCACTAAATCTGTGTCTTTTCAAATCATTTATTGGCACTTATGTCCTCTGAACCCAAAATACAATAGTGTAGCTAGGTTTGATGTGAATTTCTCTATACTAGAAAAAAAAAAAAGAGTTCTCACACTGGTCAGAAATAATTGCTAATATTTTGGTGCGGGTAAATCAAGTAAGAGGCGAGTGACAGAGACAGGAGGCAGCACCACAGGAGACACTTTCATGTTCCTGATTAAGGCGCCTCTATCCCTGAGAAGAGACAGGTGACGACAGCTCAGATATAAACCCGCCAGGGAAATCAGCTACCGCCCCACACTAGTATCTATATCCCTGTTTTGCAACCTTACCCCTCCCGTTTGTGTGTGTGGGTGTGTTTGTGCACAAGTCAACATCCAAAAGAAAACGGAGGCACAAACGTATTAAGAGCTGAAAATGAGGATTGTGCAGTGAATGGAGATCCCATGGTGCATGTCCACAAAGACTTGATGGCAAATAGTCTCTCTTCAGAAGTGGTTCAGCGGTGAGGGAGCAGACAGAACCACTTCAACTAGATCGCTAATACTTGAGGAAAGGCGAGATTCTTATAGTGAACGGCGCTTGCATAAAGAGCGAGAAATCAAAGAAAAGCTAACCCTCTGTGACATTCTTCTGCTCGTCCTTGTCTTTTCTTAAATAATTAAACAAGTGCTGAAAAGAGGAGAGATCAGAGATTCAATAAGCCCAACTTTCTCATTATTTGCCGACAAGAAAAATAGAAGGACTGCTGTCAAATGGAAAGGTGCGGAATGTTTCGGAAACAATTGCTCCGTCTACCAGCAGGTTCCCCGAAGCGTCCTTGTGGCCATTTAATAGGCTGATATATGAGCTCTATAGGCTGCTGTTTAGTCAGCTCACACCCTTAGTTCATATTTCACCATGAAAAGCACACGACTGTATTCGAACAGTCTGCCGACGTGTTCCAGACCAGCTTGCTGAACAGGGTTTTTACTTAAAAGATATCGAACAACATCCTC